CCATGCATGTGACAAGGGCTTAATATCCAAAATATACAGAACTCAGACTACTCCATGACAAGAAAACAACCAGACTTTTTTAATGGGCTCCAGATTGTTTTGGCTATTTGTGGTCTTTTATGATTCCATATAAATTTAAGGATTGTTTTTTCTATTTCTGTGGAAAATAACATTGAAATTTTGAAGGGATTGCGTTAAATCTGTAGACTGCTTTGGGTAGTGTGGATGTCTTAACAATAAATAATTCTTTCAATTTATTAATATGAAATATCTTTTCAATTATTTGTGTTTTCTTTAATACCCTTAATTGGTATTTTATAGTTTTCAGGGGTTTTTTTACCTCCTTAGTTACCAGATTTTTTTAATGGGAAAAGAATCTGAACAAACACTTCTCAAAAGACAACGTACAAATGGTCAAGTCATGAAAAAATGCAGAGCATCACTAATGATTAGGGAAATTAAAATCCCAATGAGGTCTCACCTCACACCTGTTAGAATATCTTTTATCAAAAAGATGCAAGATAAGTGTTGTTGAGGATATAGAAAAAGGGAACTGTTGTACATTGTTAGTAGGAATATGAATTATATAGCAACTCATAGCAGTAGAGACTAGAGTCATGGGTGCCAGAGGCTACGTGGTGAGGTAAGGGAGGGAATGGGGAGTTGTTGGTCAAGGGATACAAAGTTTAATAGTTGGATGGAATAAGTATTGCGATCTATTGTACCACAGGGTGACTAGAGTCAATAGTAACGCATTACATATTTCAAAATTACCAAGAGAGTAAATTTCAAATGTCTCACCATAAAAATGGCAGGTAAAGGAGATGATGGACATGTTAATTATTAATAGCTTGATTTAATCATTCCACATTGTGTATATCAAAACATCACATTGCATCCCCTTAAATTCATATAATTATAGTTTTTAAATAATTTTGTATAAAAGAAAGTGGTATTTTGTTGCAATTAGCCTTTTTGCTTTGAACAGATAAAGTACTCTTCTTAGGATGCTTCTGCCGGCTTCCCGAAGAACCTCTCCTTATTCAGTGCCTCTCTTCTGAGTCACACCCCAACCTACCTCCTGCTCAACTCTCCACTCTATTCACAGTCTACCAGCTCTGACTCTGTTTCCCGTTTACAGTATTACTTTGCCTCCAGACCACTTCTCCAGCTCCAAGACCATGCTTCAGCCCTGGACTATGATTTGGTACTCAATTCCTGGTTAGGATGCTTCCTGCCACTCTCAGTAAATATGCTGTACAATTCAGCCTGGCCCATAAGTGATCTTCAGGTCCTTGTGGCCAAGGTTCCCACCAGGCCTGCTCACAAGCAGAATCCATGCCACTGAGAATCCAATCAAACAGGGAAAATCCCTACAGCATTTCCATAAAGCTGCAAACCATGCGAGGGGAGAATCTGAACCCTGGTCCAGAAAATGCCTGAGATAGCAAGGTTCTGTCCCCTGTCTGTGTAGTTGGTAGGATACCTGATGATAACCAACTCTTGATCTTGAGGAAGGGGAGTCATGAATATCATTTCATCTTAAACAGCTCTCCAAGGCCAACAATAATGGTTCCTACTAAAAAATGCCCATTTTTGGATGAGTGGCTGAACACTGGCTTCCCCTATGGCAAATGGCCAGTGACTGAAAAAAAGGAATCATAAATTACATTGTATGCAGCCTTCTCAATAGAAAACAAAATGAGAGCCCTCAAACAAAAAAGGAATTTGTTCTTTACTTCTGGAGATTATTCACAGAAAATAGCACCTAGTGATTATCTTTTGATGCCAAAAAGATAAATATCTATGAAGGGAAGACAAAACATTACTTTTCGGATATAGCTGCCTTTGCCCATTCTCCTATATATTTATGTTCTAGGTAAATGTATTTTTATTAGACTATGAAACATTATTATAATACTAGATTCATAAAAGTAGTTGGAATTGGATTTGCTCATTTCCTACTTAATATTTTGAGAAATCTTGGTCATTTAAAACTCTCTAAACATGGTATGGGAGAAATAAAACCACCTGCCAGGAGCTCAGTGTATTCAAGCCATCCTAATTGTCTACACTAGGCTGCTACCAAATGGTGTCTATTTTTACAAAACAAAGATTTTGAAGAGGAAACGTTCCCCTTGTAGGTCTGTTCAAACTATCCTGACCCTCTTGGAAAGGAGCAGCATAACCCTCCTCCCACTGTTAGCGTGTAGCTGCCCTTCTGAACACCAAGATATGCTGGAATTCCCATAGAGGAAGCTCCAGCGAGTTTCTCGAAAAGTCTGGGTTATCTACAAACTGATCCAGGTCAAAGCAGGAGATGTTATTACGCTGAATCAGAGGTAGCATTGTGCGATGACATGAAAACAAACAGCTAAGAGAACGGAGGCCTGGGCTTCAGCCCTCGCCCTGCCTTTTACTTGACATGTGACCTTGAGCAAGTCTGCTGGAAGTCTCAGCTGGATCATCTGCCCTTAAGGAATAATAATACAGGCCCTTCAAACTGTGCAGGGTCGTAGCACACTGCAAATGAAAGAATTATGCAAACATGCTCTGAAAAGTTTAGATGTCTATAAAAATGGCTGGTTGCAATCACCACCGAATGAAATCTCGTGGTATTTGGGGAGACAGCTAGTTCTAAAATTCCAGAACCTAAGTCGTATTTTCTCCCTTCCCTGGTATATAATCTGAAATCACTTCTTGACGCTTTATTGATGAAACATATCCCAAGTCATCCTCAGAAATATTTTTCATGATTATTTTCTTTCACAGTGTTTTTCCATTCAAAATCAACAGCTGAGTAATTCCACCCATGCCTGTAAGCCTACTGCCTTATATTGGCAGGACTAACAATGGAGATGGAAAAAAATGAGGGCAGAAGAGAGCAAAGCCACCCCTTTTTATATTTCTATCAGATGCCTTGCCTGGAATCTGTCATAGGTCCTTAGCTTCTCTTATTAGTGAAAATATTTCCTGATATAGCTCTCATCACTGCCTTAGAGACATTTCACCCTGACCAGTAGGCTGATCACATGGCTGTCAGTGGCCTCAGCTGGTTCACCTACCTGCTTGTATTGCATTTCACGTTCATGCAAATTGCCAAGGTCAGCCAGAAAGCTGCGCAGCCTTTCCACCGCACCTTCAGCAGAAGCCGACTTCATATCCTCCTCTACCCACAATTCCTCAGCCTGGGTACTCAGGCCCTTATTTTCTGCTCAGTTCACACAAACCCTATTGCTTATTTTTCTTCTCTCCAGCAGTGGAGCAAAGCTACATTGCCATCTGCAAACACAAGTCCTCCTGTAGTTCAGACCAAAAAAATGTTTCATCTTCCCAGTAGAATTTTTCTTGTCCTTAGAAGAAAAATCCAAAGTGACTTTGACTGTAGTCAGTAATTAGCCCTGAAGTCACCAACTTCATTTGTCTGTTTTACTCTTAAAATCAGGGTGACAGGAGTATTCTCTTGGCAGCTGGCCAGCCCTTCCAGTATCATTGCTGTTTTCAGTAAGCATGCAGTCTGGGGTCTGTGTTGAGAGCCCTGGTCACCTCAACATCTTTTCAAGGCTAGAAGTTCTGACAGCATTTTGGGCAGGTTACTAGTTTGCTTCCCTTTGGGCAAAAACTCAAGTATACTAGATTCTTGGGCAAATACAGGTTATCAAAAATGAGTCAGTCCTTCAGTAGCATGTGAGAAAATGCGCATGACTTACCTCTTGATCATTATCTCCCAAAAGAACAATCTGTCTTTTTAAATGATTTTTTTCCATAGCAACTTCCTCTACATCGAGAGTCACAAGTGTGGTTCAATGTAGGCCCAAGAAAACCTGTAACTTTTATTCCCAAGTTGATTTTTCAAGCATCCCTGACAATTACAGGCCAGGTCAGCTTTCTCAGCCCTTCTATAGTGAGAAACGGTCTTCAGAGAAGTCAGTGAGGACAGCTACTCAGGTCTGCCATGATCGGTTTTGGAAAACAGATCAAAATATTTTATAAGGTGCAAAAATAAGCCATGAAGAGCTGTATACTTCAGCAGAAACCCAGTGCTAAAATCCCAGTACACTGAAAAGTTTCCCTGCAGTAATATTGGTTCACATTTCATAATGCTAGAGGGAAAACAGCAAGAAATAATTTTCTTGTTCAAAGAATAATTTGTTCTTTAATAGAGCTGCAAGTTTAAGCAGTATTTCATAATGGAACCCTTTGGGAAAGATCCGAAACAAAATAAGCTACAGTCATTCCCTCATTCGTTATTCAACAGTTATTCATTGAACACCTACTACATGCCAGGTTTATTGGGGACTTAGTGAGGTTTCCAAAGATGAATCAACCCTGCCTGGATCCCAAACTAAGAATTTGACCAAACTATTAAAGAGGAAAACGTCAGCTTTAGCAGTATCAACATAAATCTTTCTGTTTATCAAGTGCTAGGAACTAGCTGGGTATTGTTTTTCCCAACAACCCTACCAGAGAGGTACGAGTGAAGCCAGTGAGATTCAGAGACTTCTAGTAAATTTCCCAGCATATACACAGCTAGTGTATGGCAGAGTCAACATGCAAACCAAGGCCACTCTGAGACAGCAGACTGGCAGTGCTAAAAGGGGAGGAATTACATCTCGGCCTTTCTGTAACGTGGGGCATCAAAAGCAATGTTAACGTAGACTTGGCAGCGTCACCTTAATACGCACGTAACATACAACTTTCCTCATCCTAGGAATGAACCTGGCAGCTCACTTCAGTGTCTCATGCCCTCTTATTTTTCTAACAGTTGCTGATGAGGTTATACACGTTAACATCTTTGGATTGGCTACTTTGCCCTGACTTCTCCCCTCACAATCAGTCCCACTCTCATTAAAACTGCTACGTGTTCAGTCTGCCCACTTTCCTGGATCCCTTTTTCTTTACTGGCAGAAACCTTGACCACACAGTTCCCACAGGGTTAATCCATACCCTCCAATATTAGTGTACTCTCATGTTGTTATGAAGAAACACTCGAGACTGGGTAATTTATAAAGGAAAGAGGTTTAATTGACTCACAGTTCTGCATGGCTGGGGAGGCCTTAGGAAACTTACAATCATTGTGGAAAGCAGCTATTCAGGATGGCAAGAGAGAATGTGCTAACCAGGGAAATGTCAGATGCTTATAAAACCATCATATCTTTTGAGATTCACTCATTAACACAAGAACAGTATGGGGGAAATCTCCCCATATTTCAGTTACCTCCACCAGGTCCAACACTTGACACATGAGGATTATCACAATTCAAGGTGAGATTTGGGTGGGGACACAGAGTCAAACCATATCGTCTCCCTTCCCTAAGAACATGATCAATTCCCATTGAATATTCCATTCCCAGTGACCACAGTGATTGGTTTAGATACGGGCATGGGACCCATGCATACCAATCAGTCTTGAATACCAAGGAAGAGAGTCTCTTGCCACTGGGTGGTAAGTTGGAAGAGTGTGAGTTCAGAGCTCAATTCGCCATCTTTCCCCACATGAACAGCTGAAGGACAGAGTGACTACACCCTGACAGCACCACAGAGTCTGGACCCCAGTACCTGAGGCCAACTGCACATCTGGTCTTTTCAGTGTGGAGCGCCAATAAGTGCCTTCTATCTCTAAGCTCATTTGAGTGGAGTTTCTGTTGCAATCACAAACTTTCTAACACCTTAGGGCAGTTAATTGTCTACAGAATTCTTTGATTATGTGCGTCTCATCACTAAAAAATTTGCTCACCCTTAGTATATATACATTTATTATATACTTGTATTATGGTACAAACATTACAAAGCATATACAAAACATACACATTACAAGAGGATGATTAAAAGCTAAGTATAAATAATGTTTTCTTTCTGAACCCCTTTGAATTCTCTTGCAAGCTCCTGAATAGCCACATACCACTTTATTAAAGAATAGTGCCTACCTAATGGTCTAAAACCTAAATCCATATTGGAAGACTTTTCCTTAGAATGCCACTGTTGTCAATAATATAACTGCAATCCAACATAAACCCTCAGAATCAAATTCTCCTATTATAAGCAGATGCCCGATCATTAACTTTTAATTATATATTTAAACCACAAATATTTCAAAAAAGAACACCATTCCAAATAGACATACCTGAAACTCCCTGGAAAAGGTAAAATGATCTAAGCAATAATGATGGACAGAACCCTGTCTACTGTCTTCTAACTAGAGAGCAAACAGGAAGAAACATTATTCAGTTTCCTGAGGTCTGTATAGAGACAATCAATGCAGTGAGAAGAATCATAGCAAGAGTGTCAAGACTTGTGCCTGTGAAAAAACATCCATATTTGTGCTTACAAACTGCTCAATAAGAGTTTCCTAAACAGAGTTAGGAAGATAAGAGATACTGGGCAGTACTGAGAGGAAAATCAGAGTTCAGGACTTAAAAAATAAAGCAGTTTCTATTGGTGATGCACTCTAGCATGTCAGTTTACTGGTGAGTGATAACTATCATTGGTAGACATGAAGGTCATTGAATCTTGGAAGACGGAATCTTAGAAAACAGGATGATGAGGAGCTCAATAGTGTCATCTCCTTTTCAAGGCCATCACTGAAACCCTTGCTGCCCTCCCCATGGAATTAACTTTCTCACAGCTTGACTTTGGCACCCGTAACACTATCATAGCTAGGTGACCTTCATCTAGCTCTTTCACTTTTCTGTAGATATTTTAGTTACATTTCATTCATCTCTGCATCCCTAAGGCTTGCTTAACACAGGACGGGGCAACGTCTGTGATGAGCAAATGCACGCCTTACCCAGCTTAGAGCCAAAAAAAGACGTTTATTTAAGGCTTTTGTTTGGCAAGAGATAAAACAGTAAGAACTCCAATGTACAAGGAACACCATTCCAAATAGAGAACTTTTTCACCTCTACCTGGAGATAAAAAGGGGATAAGAAATGGTGAGCCTTATGTGAGTCACTTTAAACCCATATGTGGTAAGACTTGCAGCCTGAATCTACTGCTTCAAAAGGCAAGAGATACCTTCTTCTGCTTTGTCAATGACACATTAAAATAAAGACAATAATAACAGCAAATATTCAATATATATGATAAGCTCTTTACACGCATCAACAAAAAATATAAATATGTACTATCATCCCCAACTTACAGATGTGAAATTGAGATGTGCAAAGGTCAAATAACGTACCCAAGTTAACAAAGTCAAAATTCAAACACAGAACTGTGTGACTTCAAAGCTGTGCTCTATTCAAGCTTTCATTTGTTAAGCGCCCCCTCTCCTCTAGGTGGCCCTAGCTGTAATCCCTCTCAACCAGGATGCAGGATTTGATCCTTGGGTCCTTGCTGACTATGTTGCCATTGTCCCCTTTGCTGACATCCTGTCTTTCTGAGCCTCTAGGATTGGTAGGACAGCATCTTTAGGACGCCTGATTCTAGCAACTCTCTGCTGCCCCCACCTGGCACCCAGAAGCACAAACTCTAGATCATTTCAACCTAATTAATTCCTAGCCAGTGCTATCCAATACCCACAATACATAGCTAAGTTTTCAAAAAACTACACTAACAAAGTAGAAAGAAATTGATGAAATTAATTTTAATTACTTTATTTGAGACAGGGTCTCTCTCTGTGGTCCAGGCTAGAGCGCAGCCGCCTGGCCTGATCTCGGCTCATCACAACCTCCACTCCCGGGCTCAAGTGATCCTCCCACTTCAGCCAGGTGAGTAGCTGACACTGCAGGCGCTCCACACCATGTCTTGCTAACTTTTCTATTTTTAGTAGAGATGGTTTTTTCATGTTTTCCCAGGTTGGTCTCAAACTCCTGGGCTCAGGCAGTCCTCCCGCCTTGGCCTCCCAAAGTGCTGGGATTACAGGTAACAGCCACAGAGCCCGGCCACATTTTTATTTAAACTTACACATATCCAAAACATTATCATTTCAATACCAAAAATTAATGATATTTTTACATACTTTTTTCATCAAAATCTGGCATATATTTTTACAATTAAAACACATCTCAGCACCATAGGAAAGGTATATTTAAACACACACACACACACACACACACACACACATACACACACTGATGTGCCACACGTAATGAGTCACTTTTCAAGTGCTCAGTCACCACATGTGGGCCAGTGACTACTATAGTCAACAACTTACCCTGAGACAGTAAATCCACTTTTCATGTCTGATAAAATTAATAAAGTATTTCTGTCTGGAGATAAAATGGCATTACCAAATTTAAATACTTAGCTAATGTGTTCCACCAAATCAAACTGGATTATGATAGAAGTCTATGACTTGAGAGGCCATCTTAACACAATGAGGAAAGCGCGGGCTTTATAGTCAGATGATCTCAAGTTTAAATCCCAGCAAAACAACAGATGAAAGGATCTTCACTAATTGCAATTGTGAGAAAGTAGGCATTTGTTCAATAGAAGCTTAACCCTAGGAAAATGCATAACAACCCATGATACATTTATATGATAGAATATGATACCTCATTTAAATAAACTAGGTCTACCTGTATGTACAACATGGAAATAATGTTTTGTAAAAAAAATATATGATACAATGGGACATTGCCACATGAGGCCATTTTTTAAAGTATAAATACAAGCAAAACTATTTAATATATTGTTTGTGGATATACACTAATGAAGCTAAATTGTGAAGACATGCCTGAAAAGGTAAATATCTACTTCAGAAGGGTGGTTCTCCCCACCAGAGAGCAGAGAATCCTACTGGCCTCTCACAGGGGACCTAGGGAAGGATGCTCTACAATTAGGGAAAGGGGGAGATGGGCCAGAGGAAAGCTGGCTTGCCTACTTGTTCTTCTCACAGAAATGACTCTTAATTTTGGTTTGTTTTTTTTTAAACTGAGTCTGGCTCTGTCACCAAGGCTGGAGTGCAATGACGTGATCTCAGCTCACTGCAACCTCCGTCTCCCAGGTCCAAGCTATTTTCATGCCTCAGCCTCCCAAGTAGCTTGGATCACAGGCACCTGCCGCTACATTTGGCTAATTTTTGTATTTTCATAGAGACAGGTTTCATCATGTTGGCCAGGCTGGTCTCGAACTCCTGACCTCAGGTCTCCACCTCCCAAAGGTGAGCCACCATGCCCAGCCAGAAATGCCTCTTTAAAAAGACATCTGATGAATTTCTAAGTGTTGGGACATTGTTATAATTATTGATCAATATATTAATCATTTCAATTTAGCTTCTTGTTTATCACCACAATTCTTAAGAATAAAATGTCTGCCCAGAAATAAGAATGTGGAATTGGAAGAAGCTTTATTACTAGAAATATTAAATCAAGATGAAATTGCAGAGTTGTTCCAAGACAAAAATGTAAAGGCACATTCACTTACTGGCCCTTTCTATTGAAAACTAGAAGGAATTTTAAAGAGTAGTTATTGTTGTTAATGTTTTCACTGCAAGACAATTTGAGGGATTTTCTTTGTTAAAATACATTGTTATAATACATTTGACGTTGCCTCAACTCCTGTTCCAATCACAGAAATGCCTCCAATAAAGTACCTGCCAGGAATTGATAACGCGTTATTATTATAATTATTCCCTTAAAGGGGATGGGGGGAGTTCTTTGTGCAGTCCTTATGAATTTTCTCTAAGTTTGGAATTACTTCAAAATAAAGTTTTTTCATTTTAAAAACAGGGTGGTTCTCTAGGGATTCTCTGGATGGAGGTAAATGGAAAACAGTGTGAAAGGAGAGACTTCAACTGTATTTGCAGTGATTTAAGGAGGAGGAGGAGAAGGGAAAAAATTCTAAGACCAAAACTCGGGCAGTTAACAAATGACTACATATCAGCAAGCCCCTTGCCTGAAGAACAGCATTTGTTCAGCCTCTCCCTCCTGTTAGTTTTGAAGGAGCAACCCCACGCAGTGTGATTCTTCATCTAAAGAGTTTCAGACAAGCTCCAATCCAAAAATCTGTTTTCCAAGGTAGCCCACCTTCCCACATGGCAACTCAGTGCTTTGACGACATTGGCTTGGAGAAAGTTCGAAAACCACAAAGGGACAGTTGCTAAATATTGAACTTACCACCTAGAGCAATCTAGGAAGAAACAACTTTCTGAACCATCTAATGTTTTTTGTTTTGTTTTTTTTTAATTTTTTATTGGATTATAGGTTTTGGGGTACATGAGCAGAGCATGCAAGACAGTTTTGTAGGTACGCACATGGCAGTGTGCTTTGCTTTGCTTCTTCCCTTCACCCACATTTGGCATTTCTCCCCAGGCTATCCCTCCCCACCTCCCCCTCCCACTGGCCCTCCCCTTTTCCCCCCAATAGACCCCAGTGTTTAGTACTCCCCTTTCTGTGTCCATGTGTTCTCATTTTTCATCACCCGCCTAGGAGTGAGAATATGCGGTGCTTCATTTTCTGTTCTTGTGTCAGTTTGCTGAGGATGATGTTCTCCAGATTCATCCCATCTAATGTTTTAAGTTAAATGGACCATGAAAAGGAGTGCCTCCACCGTTTACTCAATCTGTAGGATTTCTACAGAGAGCTGTACCCAGAATAAGAAATTTTTAAGTAATTAATGCAAAGTTACTTGTCCTGCAGGCATCTGGATTTTAATACAGAGCTTACAGAGGATTTATTCCTAGACATCTTTTTTAATCAACATCTCCTAACCCATCTGTGCTTCTGCAGCGAGGTTTCTGAAGCTGAAGTGCTATGACTGTTTCCATTTGCTTCATTATAATTATGCAAAACCATGTGTTTTGTTCTGCCTGATCCCAGTTCAATTTAAACACTGATTAAATTGGAAATAAATTAATGTGGTCCAAGTGTTGATGGAATCATCATAAACTGGCACTTACCCCTGGAAACAAACCATCATCTAATGAATTAATTGTACTCTTTATTTGGGGAGAACATTAGACGTAATCAAATGGAATTCACGCACATTCACAGGCTCCAATAAATGGATATGTTACTAGAATAACAGTAAATTAATTTCAAGAGGCTCTGTAGCACAGGATACACAGGCTGTAATTAGATAAGTAAGGAGTTCAGTAAAAGAGAAAACATATGATCTGCCTTGCCCATTTGACAATACCTTGTCCTTCCTAGGTAATGTAATTTTCAATCAAAGAGAATGGGGATGATTAATTCCCTGATTAATAACACATACACATTCAAAGTAATGGAAATTCTAGATGTTCACCAGAGAAAATTTCTGCAGACACCGCAGGAGTTTTCTAGAAACCAGTATAACAGCACTGGCCGTGGGTTCCTTGCAGATAAAATTTGGAGGTTCATTAAAGGTATTTTCTGGCTAATAAAATTTGGAGGTTCATTAAAGGTATTTTCTGGCTAATCTTTATTCCCATAAGGGTCTTATAAAGAGGAGATAGCTAAATTAGCAACCCCAACAGTGAGAGAACTATACCCCAGCTTTTCTGGAGATGAGCCTGTATTGGACCTGCCAGGGTAGATTCTCAGCAGTTGAGGCATTTGCTGTGTAGCCTGCCTGTCTTTGGGGACCCTTGCTGAAGGATGGAAGGAAGAAAGGGGTCCCTCTAGCTTCCTTCAATTAAAATCCATGAACTTCTAAGAACACGCTATTCAAACCAGATGACTTCCCTGGATGGATAGAGCTCATAATTAAGTAGGCAAGTACAGCAACCCATGTTATGGTAGGAAAGCAGGCCCAGGCATAATCCAGGTTCCATCCAAATAGAGGCATCACAGATACAGGCAGATACAGTGCACAGGTAAGGAGAGCAGTAGGGAAAGAAAAAGATGCCTGAACGTTTTTAGAAAAAACCTTCTCAGGCTAAGATGAGCCAAAATTTAGCATCACATTTTAAAATAGTTTTTTTTTTTAATTACGAAGTCAGCACTTCTCATCTAAAGCAACATCTGAATTCACAAAGAAAAAACATTTAAAACACCCATAATCCTATTTATTCAGAAAGTTCTTGCAATGCTATATGTAATTGTTTAAATGCAGGCTTTCTAAATCTCAGTACTATTGACATTTTGAGCCAAATAATGACTTGTGGTAGGGTCCGTTCAGCAGCATTTCTGACCTCTAATCACTAGGGGCCAGCAGCACCAACCTCCACCCTACTTGTAACAAGCTAAGTTGTCCCCAGACATTGAAAAATGGCCACTCAGAGGCAAAAATCACCCCTGCTTGAAAACCACTGTTCTACAGGAATCATATCATACCATTTTGAAACCAACAATTTTCAACTAATGTATTGTCAGCATCTTTCTGTGTCATTAAAAACATGACTGCAGCATCTAATTTAACAAGTCCTTAATTAATTTAACCAGTTCTTTATTTATTTAACCTGTTTTTCTTTTCAATGTGCTAATAACATAGTGAAAATTTTCCTATATGCATATTTGGATACATAATTATTTCCTTAGGATATATTTCTTAGGTAAGGATTTCTGAGTCAAGATTTTATGGTTTTTTATGTCACTTTTCTTTAAAAACCCTTGACATAACTTGTATTATTTTCCATTTGTGATTGGTGTCACCTCTATCTGTGACTTTCTCTCCCACACTATATGATGAGTGCAAGGATTGCCATCTGTGCCATTTACTGTAATATCCCCACCATGTCTAGAAGTGCCTGGCACATAGTAACAGCTCAATAATATTTATTGAAAGGGTGAATAGGTAAGTGAAAAAAACAGCAGTTAAACTTTCAAACACTTTGCAGGTTGCTAGTTTTGTAACTCACTCATCTTATCCAAAAATATACATTTGTTGATCCAAAAGTAATAAATAGGCTTTAAATATACCTTGCTTTCAGAGAAGGAAGGGTATTAACAAGAATTAAATTAAAAGTCCAAAACCTAGACAGGAGCAGTGTCTCACGCCTGTAATCCCAGCACTTTGAGAGGTTGAGGTGGGTGAATCACTTGAGCCCAGGAGTTCAAGACCAGCCTGAGCAACATGGTGAAATCCTGTCTCTACTAAAATACAAAAATTAGCAAGGCATGGTGGCAGGCGCCTGTAGTCCCAGCTACTTGGGTCGGTGGGGAAGGAGAATCACTTGAACCCAGGAGGCAGAAGTTGCAGTGAGCCGAGATTGTACCACTGCATTCCAAGCTGGGCAACAGATGGAGGCTGTGTCTCAAGAGAAAAAAAAAATAGTCCAAAACCTGAACACACTTGAGTTTCAAGGCTGCAGTTAGAGTGAAGAGATTTTAGTGGAGAAAGGGAAGTAATGAACTATTTATTAAATCCTCATAGCTCTAGAGTGTCTTTTTAAAAGTAATATTTATTTACTACCCTCATGACTATAGAGCTCCCTTCCTGGAAAGAAAATAATAAATACAGAAAGTGGTTTGTTTTTATAAGTCAACTAAGAAATTCAGAGAATGCTTTGACTAAATTATTTGGGTTTTTGATGGAAACCTTCCAAAATGAGATTGAATAGTTGATCTGCTCTAACACTCTGAACCTGTCCATATCTAACTAATAAACCTTGAACCCCAGAGTCACTGGGGAAACACAAATCTGATGGTAGAATGCTTTAGTGTGTTTTCTGCTGCCAAACAGAGTACCTGAGACTGGCAATTCACAAGAAAAATAAATTTGTTTCTTACAGTTCTGGAAGCTGGAAGTCCAAGGCTGAGGGGCTCGCATCTGGCGGCGGCCTTCTAGCTGCAGCATTCCATAGCAGAAAAAGCAAAGGGCAAGAAAGTACATGGGAGAAAGACAGAGCCCCGTCCCAGAGCCATCTTTCAAAGGCATCAAACCCACCCACAAGGGTGGAGCCTTCAGAGCTGAATCACCTGTTAAAGATCCCGTGTCTCAATCCTGTTACAATGGCAATCAAATTTCAGCATCAGCTATGGAGCAAACAAACATCCAAACTGTAGCAAAGAGATTCAGATACAAAGCTTCAAATCATATTCCACCTTTCTGCTATGCCCATCCACAGATGGCACAAATCACTTATCTGGGAATAAAAACCCCAATGTCTTCCATGCATATGTCCTCTTCACCTCCTTTTAAAGTTAGTACTGAGTTTTTGTGTGTGTGATAAACCACGCACCAATGAAAGGGCAAGATTATGATGACTGTCTCATTTAGGATTCAAGCAGAAGTCTTAGCCAGGCCTTCATAATCGGGAAAATTAAAGATAAAATATGTAGATCCTGGCAAATGGACCATGCAATCCCCATGGTTTACTTCCAAGGTCACATCGACCCAGACGGAATATTAATCAAACTCCAATAAAAAATGGAAATGATTGTCTTTGTACCCTGTTTTACAGCTTAAGAAACATCCAGCTAACTATCATAGTGCAGTCATATTAGGTACTTGGGAAATTATGTAGCTGCTACTGAAGTTATCCAAGCATCCATTTTAAAATGTCCCCATTATTTTGGTGAGTCACTTGATAACGTAAAGAAATAGAGTTTCATAAAATGCCTCTTGAAAAAGCATCAACTGAAAAAACCTTTACATTAATTGCCTAAGAAATTCTAGTTATTATATAGAGCAATAGTTCTGAACCTTGGGAACATGTTAGAATCACCTAGTGCTTTTTAAAAATACCAGTACCTGGGCCCTAATCCAAGTGATTTCCAGTTAATTGGTCTTGGAGAGGCCCAGGCACTGGTAATTACAAACCTGCCCCTGATAATGCTAATATGCAATCAGGCTGGAGGCCACTCTCTCAATGCTACTGTAGCTCATCCTCTGCTGCTCTGACCCAAATCTTCCTGAGTACCTCATCTCTAATGGAGACTTTCCCTCAACTCAAAGAAAGTAAACTTGTTCAGTAAATCAAACATTATTTCTGAGAGTCCATTTAACTAACAGTGGGGATGAAATGTTATCATGTATGCGGTACACTGAGAGAACATCATCTTAGATTCTTTGTCATATCATTGTTAGAAAGACAATTCAAATGGCACATTGGTAGTCCAGAGGATGATGCAGGATTGCTTGAGCCCAGGAGTTTCAGGTTATGCTGAGCAGAGATTGCACCACTGCACTCTAGCCTGGGTGACAGAGCAAGACCCTGTCTCTAAAAATAAAATAAATAAATTTTTAAAGAAGATATCAAATAACACATCGGGCAACCTCAAAACCCACTTCTGACCTTAGATGAACCCTGACACTCAACATTCAAACTTTCATCCCCTGGAACAAAGACAGTATTCTTGTTGGCTGTAATCCCAACAATTCGGAGAACTTGAAAACTGGCACAAGTGTAAACAGCTAATAGCTTTAAACGGTCCTAAAAGGTATGAACTATAACTAGAACACACTTCCCTAAAATTCAAAATTCTCAAACATAATATACACTAATTACTTTGTTGCTAAATGAGACAAGCAATGCCTCACACATACCAGACACACAATAAACATCTTAAAATCTAATTAAGGAATACTGAAATTGCTCCTAAAGTGGGTACTGATACAATTCAAAATTCTTATTTGGATAACAAGATTAGCATGTATTTCAGCGCTAACTGTAAGACAGCTCCTCCAACAATTATACTAGAATTAATGGCATTGCTGTATTAATTTTTTTAAGAACAGTAAATTTCAAAAGTCTTCATTTTATTAAACTTGCTATCTTATTGATACCCTGTCAGTCCTGAAAGAACTGGTACAAAAAAAAAAGTATCCATTCTTGTCACAAGAAAATTTAAACTCCATAAAATCTATTATTTTCCCCAAGACATTTGCTTTTACTGCTAGATTTTTTTCCTCCAGCAAATAAACATATATTGAGGACCAACCACATGCCAGGCAGAACCCATGTTTAGGATATCAGCTGGTGATGAGGACAGACTGTGCTTGAATCTAAGCTCTGCTAGTTGTTAGTGACATGAATCAAGTTACTTAATTTCTCTTATTTTCCTGTTTCTCATCTGCACAGTAAGAAGGACTAACTGGAGGGGTTGTTGATACTGGAAGATAATATATGCAATGTACCTGGCCTTAATTATTGCTCTATCACTGGATTCTCACAACTCTGGGACTAGAGGGTGCTACATCCTGTTTGCAAATGTGTAATCAAAGGCACTGAGAGGTTGTGACCTAGATACTTTATCTTTTGAGATGTTTTCCTCCTTTTGCGGGGAGGGTTAGGGGGCAGACAATGTCTCTCTGTTGTTACCCAGGCTGGAGTGCAGTGGCACAGTCATAGCTCATTGTAGTCTTGATTTCCTGGGCTCAAGCAATTCTCCTGCCTCAGGCTCCTAAGTAGCTAGGACTACAGGCATGTGCTGCAGTGCCTGGTTTGTTGTTGTTTGTTTGTTTGTTTGAAGAGTCAGGGTCTCACTATGTTGCCCAAGCTGGCCTTGAACTCCTGGCCTCAAGTGGCCCTTCCACCTTTGCCTCTCAAAGCCCTGGGATTACAGATGTCAGCCACCATGCTAGCTCCATTGTATATTCTTCTAATTTATCTTCTGGTAATTCTTGTGTCTTCTAGAAACGGAGAAATTGGATCCCATTTGTCATTTTGGCGTTTGTTGCCACCATTGTTTTTGGCGTTTTAGTTATGAGGTCCTTGCCTATGCCTATGTCCTGAATGGTATTGCCTATATTTTTTTCTAGCATTTTTATGGTGTTAGATCTTATGTTTAAATCTTTAATCCATCTGGAGTTAATTTTTGTATAAGGTGTAAGGAATAGGTCCAGTTTCTGCTTCCTGCACATGGTTAGCCAGTTTTCCCAACACCATTTATTAAACAGGGAATCCTTTCCCCATTACTGGTTTTTGTCAGTTTGTCAAAGATCAGATGGTTGTAGGCGTGTGGCATTACTTCCGAGGCCTCTGTTCTGTTTCATTTGTCTATATCTCTGTTTTGGTACCAATACCATGCTGTTTTGATTACTGTAGCCTTATGGTGTAGTTTGAAGTCAGGTGTGTGATGCCTCCAGCTTTGTTCTTTTTGCTTAAGATTGCCTTAGCTATGCAGGCTCTTTTTTGGTTCCATATGACGTTTAAGGTCTTTTATTCCAGGTCTGTGAAGGTCAATGGTAACTTGATGGGGATAGCATTGAATCTATAAATTACTTTGGGCAGTATGGCCATTTTCATGATATTGATTGGTTTTCCAAATGTTTGTGTCCTCTCTTATGTCCTTGAGCAGTGGTTTGTAGTTCTCCTTGAAGAGATCCTTTACATCCTTTGTTACTTGTATTCCTAGGTATTTTATTCTCTTTGTAGCAATTGTAAATGGGAGTTCACTCATGATTTGGCTGTCTGTTATTGGTGTACAGGAATGCTTGTGATTTCTACACATTGATTTTGTAACCTGAGACTTTGTTGAAGTTGCTTATCATCTAAAGGAGATTTTGGGCTGAGACAATGGGGTTTTGAAGATATACAATCATGTCATCTGCAAATAGAGACAATTTGACTTCCTCTTTTCCTAACTGAATACCCCTTATTTCTTTTTCTTGCCTGATTGCTCTGGCTAAGAGCTTCTGCACAGCAAAAGAAACAATCACTAGAGTGAACTGGCAACCAACAGAATGGGGAAAAAACTTTTCCAAGCTACTCATCTGAAAAAGGGCTAATATCCAGAATCTACAAAGAACTAAAACAAATTTACAAGGAAAAAACAAACAACTCCATCAAAAAGTGGGTGAAGGATCTGAAGAGGCACTTTTCAAAAGAAGACATTTATGCAGCTAAGAAACATATGAAAAAATTCTCATCATCAATGGTCATTAGAGAAATGTAAATCAAAACCACATTGAGATACCATCTCATGCCAGTTAGAATGGAGATCATTAAAAAATCTGGAAACAACAGATGCTGGAGAGGATGTGGAGAAATGGGAACACTTTTACACTGTTGGTGGAAGTGTGAATTAGTTCAACCATTGTGGAAGACAGTGTGGAGATTCCTCAAAAATCTAGGAACAGAAATACCATTTGACCCAGCAATCCCATCACTGGGTATATACCCAAGAAATTGTTCTATTATAAAGACACATGTACATGTATGTTCATTGCGGCACTGTTTACAATAGCAAAGACTTGGAATCAACCCAAAGCTCATCAAGGATAAACTGATAAAGAAAATGTGGCACATAAACACCATGAAATACTATGTAGCCATAAAAAAGGATGAGCTCATGTCCTTTGCAGCAACATGGATGAAGCTGGAAATATACCCAAGAAATTGTTCTATTATAAAGACACATGCACACATATGTTCCTTGCAGCACTGTTTACAATAGCAAAGAGTTGGAATCAACCCAAATGCTCATCAAGGCTAGACTGGATAAAGAAAATGTGGCACATAAACACCATGGAATACTATGCAGCCATAAAAAAGGATGAGTTCATGTCTTTGCAGCGACATGGATGAAACCATGTTTGCTGGAAACCATTCTCAGCAAACTGACACAAGAACAGAAAACCAAACACCACATGTTCTCAAAGGGGGTGTTGCACAATGAGAATACATGTACACAGTGAGGGGAACATCATACACTGGGGTCTACTGGGGGTGGGGGGCTAGGGGAGCAATAGCAGGGGGTGGGGACGTAAGGGAGGGATCACGTTAGGAGAAATGCATAATGTAGTTGGCAGGGGGATGGAGGCAGCAAACCACTGTAACATGTGTATACTTATGTAACAGTCCTCCAAGATCTGCTCATGTACCCCTGAACTTAAACTATGATAATTTAAAAAAATTAAAAATAGAAATGGAGAAATTATATCTCTACAGAGTCAAAAAGCTTCTAGCTCTGGTGTTCTGGCAGCATCTGAGAATAGTGAAGAAAAACTCAGGGGACAGGCAATATTGATTGTATGCAACTGTAGCTTAGCACAACATGAACAAGCCTGTTGTATCTTCATCTGCTTTGGGATGGGGTACCCTTTTAATCAGGTGAACTGCGTTTAATAGCATCTCTGATACCAGAAAAGGAAATATGTGACAAAATCATGAAGTATAGACTAAGAAACTGTATGGGGCAACTGATTAGAATAGCATTCTCACTGGTGTTCCTCTTAAGACTCCGCAGCTTGGTGTCAAACCAAATGTACAGACACTTTCTAAAATATATTATACTAAACAAAACAACTATGTAACAGTTGGCATTCTGAAAACAAAGCGTTTCTTAGAATACTAAGGAGCCAATGTCCTATATATTTCTGTCTTGAAAAAAAGAATTATCTTTGTTTCAACTGATGCTCCCTAATTAGTTCTCCTTATTTCTAATTTTATACTCTGGCTATTGAAATAAGGGACTATTTCCATCAACAAAGCAAGCTCCAGATAAAAGTTAAGAAACTCGCTAAAAAACCAGCTCATGCTGTCTTTCCTGGGATTCCTTGACATGTGAATGCTCCAGCCAGACCCAGAAATGCAGCTTTGTTTTACTACCATGCCATAATGATCTAAGCAGCAAAATCAGGTATGTAACCTAAAGCCAGCAAGCCTTCCCAACAGCATAGATTTCATTAATGTCAGAATCACACAGGCTGCTTCTGTCCTTGGTATCTATTGGTAATATATTATCTTTCAAATTACTGGTTACTTTTAAAACAGATTAATGTAAACCTAGCATATGGCTACACACTCATTTTCCATTTACTTGACATTTACTGAGCACTTTCCATGGTCCTGGTACCAAATACGTGCCTGGGATAAGAAAGTAAGAGTCCCCACTCTCTGAGAAATGATGATAGAAATGTGTTACCTGGATATGTCAGAGGATGCCTTCCAATTAAGATTTTTGGTTGCCATCTTTGACAGAAAGGAACTTATTAGCAGGATCACAGTGAGACATAGACTCAATCACAGGATAAAGAGACCAGGTAACTGGTACCCCAGGGAAAATCATGTAGCAGAAGAATCACCTCTCCCACATGCTGGCTTCAATTGATTATGATTAAAACCAAGGGACAGCTTAAGTCACAGGTCATCCTATGGCACCAGAAGGAAGGCTCTTATTTATAATCAGCACATAAGGAATGCATTCTTCAGAAGAGGTAATTTCTCCTTTTGTAGAAACAATTCAAATCAACAAGAAGACATGCAAGGTAAAATCTGTGGCTCTCCCATTCCAATTCTACAATGTATTAATAAAGGAATATAGACTGGGAAATGCTTCTAGAGTCCTTGAAATTTAGTTCTTTAGTTTTTAAGTGTTTAATGTTGTTTTTCCCCTTGTCTTTTCAACACAATTCAGCAAGCAGCCATGTTAACTTTTACACGAAACTATTCATTGGATATTAGAATTTACATTAAGCTGTAATTAAAGTGTGATGTCTTTTTCCAGATCTCCATCTAAAATGTAAATTAAAGGGCAGATGAAAAAATAATTTCCCTTATGTCATTTAAATTATCCCTTAAGATTATGGGAAACTATTCATTTTTTTAAACTAAGAGGAACAAAAATGCATTTCCCCTTCCCACTCTTCACAACAGAAGATGCTGAGGGAATGAGATGCTCTGCTTAATAACAACTTTCTGGTTGACTTAAAAGGCTAAAATTGGTATTTTTAACCATTCACGTCCCTGTTTTGGGGCACTAAGTGGACTTCATTCAATTTAGCCACAGTTATCCCCAAATCTTAACACTGTCCACCTTTCTCCCAAGTCAAATCCCATTGCTGTTGTTTTGTGTGGCCATACAACCAATCCTAGAAGCTAACATTATAATACTAGCTTATTATGGTGTTGGCCTCGAAGTATTTTACATGTATTAACTGAATGAATCCTTGCAAAGAATTCCAGGGTAGGTCCTATTATTATCTTCATTTTTCAGATGAAGAAACCAAGTCATAGTTGAGTGTCACTCTCTAACCTGACTTGATATACAAGGCTCTAGATAAAATCCTTCTACATAAATGCAGGGAAATAGACTTGTATAAACACAAATCTTTAGACCTTGATTATTGTAGTTGTGTGGTAAAGAAATAAGTTACCTAGACCTGAAATTTCTACCTATATATTTAAATGAGAATAATGCTATCTACTTCACGAGATATTATGAAATATGTCAATCTTCTCAAACTCTTCTAAAACTTGCACTCTTCTAAACTCTTCAAACTCATAGATGCATAAGTTGATCTTATAGATAAACTTCTTCCTAAGGTTTCTATTTTTAAGAAATAAGAATTTTTAAAAATAGTTTTTCTATATTCTTACAAGGCATTGTAAGGTATATGCGTTGAGGATATTCCTTCCCATGATTTCCAATCCTATATTGTTCCAATCTGGGCAACATAGTGAAACCCCGTCTCTATGACCAAAAAAAACAGTAACACAAAAATACACAAGTGAGCAGCAAAGGTGGTGCAAGCCTTAGTCCCAGCTACCTGGGAGGCTGAGGTGGGACGATAGCTTGAGCCAGGAAAACGGAGGTTGCAGTAAGCCAAGATCATGCCACTGCACTCCAGCCTGTGCAACACAGCCAGACACTGCCTCAAAAAAAAAAAAAAGTAAGTTCCATGTAGTAAACATTATGCTTTGTTTTACTGCTAGTTACTCAGCACAGGCATCTACCAAACAAACTGAAACAAAGTAGCCTAGAAGTATTCTATCATAACAACCTCTCAGGCAACATTTTAAAGAGAAGTGATCAAAACAAGCTTAGAGAGTTATGGTGGGATTAAAAAAAAAATTACAGCATTTGTATCCATATAGTTTAGAATGAGATCTGGGTTCTCAACATACTATGAAATCATGACAAGGAAGACAACTGTGATGATGGATGCTAAACTTAAGATGCAACATCAGCTTTCAATTCAGCCCAAATTGATGGTCGCAAGGCAAGAGCAACTTGCTCCTTAGCGAGCAAGGTAGAACACTTGTTTCCTAATAAAATGTAACTGTAAAAATTTTATATATCTTTAAAAAATGAATATGGCATATAGTAAAAAACTTCTCAAGAAATTTTACAAATGTGTTTCCTCACATGTATCATTTTCCTCTAATCCTCAATCAATAATATTATTTACAAATAAGAATACACAGGTAAAACCACACTGGAATTCAGGTCTCCTAACACTTGGTCCAGTTGTAGTCTACAGCTTTAGTTTTACTAATACTAAAACTTAAAATGAGTTTATCAATTTAAATGTTTATCATAGTTTATCATTCTGTAAGGCTAAGAATTGGTAATTTATTCTAAATTCTACCCTAAAACACCATTATGCAAACTGATCGTTACTTAATATCTTTAACATACTTAAGGAGGGATCCAAGATGGCCAATTAGGAGCACCTCAGGATTGCAGCTCCCAGCAAAAGCACGGAAGGTGAGTGGATGCCGCATTTCCAGACAAGTTTTTGTTGCCCAAAGATGAGGAGGTCCCCAGGCGAAGGAGCCCCATGGGTCGCCAGCACAGCTGGTTGGGCCAGTGCGGCTGTTTGGCCAGTGCAGCTGTTTTGCCGGAGATTCTCCATACAAAATACACAGGTCCGGACGTCATTATAGCCGGCCATATGAGCTCCTGGCAAACAGAGGCACCCATTCAACTGATTAAAAAGGGGACTGAAACAGGGAGCGAGGCCAGGGGGAGCCAGACCAGGAGATTCCTGGGCAAAAAAGTGCCATGAATCTCAGCACCGCTGTTTCAGCCGGCACAGGCACAGTGGGTCGCTGCACCAGAAATCAGATTCCAGCGCCTTTTCAACAGACGACTGGAACACCTGGTAGACAAAAGTCGATGGTTCAACTAAAAAAAAAAAAAGGACTGTGAGGCAGGCAGCCAGGTGATCAGGCTCAGCTGGTCCCACCCCCACAAAACAGCAATTGAAAACACTCTAGACTGGGAGTTGCACAGCAAACACAGCCGCACGTGGGACCAGCCAGCTCTGTGGGGGAGGGGCATCCACCATTATCAAGGCACTCCACCACTATGGAGGTAGTTTGCCATTGCTGACGCAGCCTGCCATTACAGAGACAGTTTGCCATTATAGAGATGGGCTGCCATTGCTGAGGCAGTTCTAACTACACGCGTATAAACAGGACTGCAGGAAAGTTCACATGGCACCTGGGCGGAGCCCAGAGCAACTCAGCAAAGTCTCTGTAGGCAGTGACTAGGCTGCCACCTTGCCTGGCAGGGCAGCCCTGAAAAAAGCCAGCAGCACAACAGAAACTCATAAATAAAGCCCTAACTCCCCAGGACAGAGCACCTGGGGGGAAAAAAGGGGTTTATGAGTTATACTGCAGCAGACTTAAACGTACCTGCCCAGCAGCTCTGAATGAACAACAGAGCTCACAGCTCAGCACTTAAGCTCCTATAAAGGACAGACCATCCCCTCAAGCAGCTCCCTGACCCCCATGTATCCAGAGTCACCTCATAAAAAAGAGCTCAGACTGACATCTGGCAGGTATCCTTCAGGGACAAAGAAAGCAGAAAAAGAAACTGGCAGCAACCCTTACTGTTCTGCAGCTGCTGCAGGTGACCACAGGCAAGCAGGGCCTGGAGTGGACCTCAGCAGTCCTACAGCAGAGGAGCCAGACTGTTAGAAGGAAAACTAAGAAACAGAAAGAAATAACTTCATCATCAACAATCTGGACATCCACTCAGAAACCCAAAAAACAAAATCAGCAACTACACAGACGACAGGTGGATAAATCCACAAAGATGGGAAGAAACCAGCACAAAAAGGGGGAAAACACCCGAAACCAGAACGCCTCTCCTGCTACAAGGGATCACAACTCCTCACCAGTAAGGGAACAAGGCTGGATAGAGAATGAGTGTGATGAATTGACAGAATCAGGCTTTAGAAGGTGGGTAATAAGAAACTTCTGTGAGCTAAAAGAACATGTTCTAACCCAATGCAAAGAAACTAAGAACCTTGAAAAAAGATTTGATGAAATGCTAATGAGAATAAACAACTTAGAGAGGAATGTAAGTGAACTGATGGAGCTGAAAAACACAACATGAGAACTTTGCGAAGCATACACAATTTTCAACAGCCGAATTGACCAACGCAGAAGAAAGGATATTAGAGGTCAAAGATCAACTCAATGAAATAAAATGAGAAGGCAAGATTAGAGAAAAAAGCGCAAAAAGGAATGAACAAAGTCTCCAAGAAATATGGGACTATGTGAAAAGACCTAATCTACGTTTGATATGTGTACACGAATGTGACGAAGAGAATGAATCCAAGCTGGAAAATACTCTTCAGGATATTATCCAGGAAAACTTCCCCAACCTGGCAAGGCAGGCCAATACTCAAGTCCAGGAAATACAGAGAACACCTCAAAGATATTCCTCAAGAAGAGCAACCCCAAGGCACATAATCATCAGATTCACCAGGGTTGAAATGAATGAGAAAATGCTAAGGGCAGCCACAGACAAAGGTCGGGTCACCCACAAAGGGAAGCCCATCAGACTCACAGCAGATCTCTCAGCAGAAACCCTACAAGCCAGAAGAGAGTGGGGGCCGATATTCAACATCCTTAAAGAAAAGAACTTTCAACCCAGAATTTCATATCCAGCCAAACTAAGCTTCATAAGTGAAGGAAAAATAAAATCCTTTGTGAACAAGCAAGTACTCAGAGATTTCATCACCACCAGGCCTGCTTTACGAGAGCTCCTGAAAGAGGCCCTAAACATAGAAAGGAACAACTAGTACCAGTCACTCCAAAAACATACCAAATGGTAAAGAGCATCAACACAATGAAGAAACTGCATCAACTACAAGGCAAAATAGCTAGCTAGTATCAAAATGGCAGTATCAAATTCACACACAAAAATATTAACCCTAAATGGATATGAGCTAAATGCCCCAATCAAAAGACACAGACTGGTAAATTGGATAAAAAGCCAAAACCCATCGGTATTCTGTATCCAGGAAACCCATCTCACATGCAAGGATACACAAAGGCTCAAAGTAAAGGGATGTAGAAGATTTACCAAGCAAATGAAGAGCAAAAAAAAGCAGGAGTTGCAATTCTCGTCTCTGATAAAATAGACTTTAAAGCAACAAAGATCAAAAGAGACAAAGAAGGCCATTACATAAGGGTAAAAGGATCGATGCAACAAGAAGAGCTAATGATCCTTAATATATACGTACCCAATACAGGAGCACCCAGATACATAAGGCAAGTTCTTAATGATTTAAAAAGAGATTTAGACTCCCACACAATAATAGTGGGAGACTTTAACACCCCATTGTCAATATTAGACAGATCAACCAGACAGAAAATTAACAAGGATATCCAGGACTTGAACACAGACCTGGACCAAGCAAACCTAATAGACATTTACAGAACTCTCCACCTCAAATCCACAGAATATACATCTTCTCAGCACCACATCACACCTACTCTAAAATTGACCACATAACTGGAAGTAAATCACTCCTCAGCAAATGCAAAAGAACGGAAATCATAACAAACAGTCTCTCAGACCACAGTGCAATCAAGTTAGAACTCAGAATTCAGAAACTAACAGAACCACACAGCTTCATGGAAACTGAACAACTGGCTCTTGAATGTTGACTGGATAAACAATGAAATGAAGGTAGGAATAAAGATGTTCTTCGAAACCAATGAGAACGAAGACACAACATACCAGAATCTCTGGGACACATTTAAAGCAATCTCTATGGGAAATATATATAGCAATAAATGACCACATAAGAAGAAAGGAGAGATCCAAAATTGACACTCTATCGTCAAAATTGAAACAGCTAGAGGAGCAAGATAAAAAAAAACTCAAAACTTAGCAGAAGACAAGAAATAACTAAGATCAAAGCAGAACTGAAGGAGACAGAGACACGAAAAACCCTTCAAAAAAAAATCAATAAATCCAGGAGTTGGTTTTTGGAAAAGATCAACAAAATAGACAGACCACTAGCCAGATCAATAAAAAAGAAAGGAGAGAAAAATCAAATAGATGCAATAAAAAACGATAAAAGGGATATCACCACAGATTCCACAGAAATTCAAACCATCATCAGAGAATATTACAAACAACTCTATGCACATAAACTAGTAAACCTGGAAGAAATGGATAAACTCCTGGACACCTGTGTCCTCCCAAGCCTAAACCAGGAAGAAGTTGAAACCCTGAATAGACCAATAACAAGATCTGAAGTTGAGGCAGCAATTAAGAGCCTACCACACAAAAAAAGCCTAGGTCCAGATGGGTTCACAGCTGAATTCTACCAGACATACAAAGAGGAGCTGGTATCATTCCTTCTGAAGCTATTCCAAACAATCCAAAAAGAGGGAAGCCTTCCCACATCATTTTATGAGACCAACATCATCCTGATACCAAAACCCGGCAGAGACTCAGCAAGAAAAGAAAACTTCAGGCCAATATCCATGATGAACATGGATGCAAAAATCTTCAATAAAATACTGGCAAACCAATTGCAACAGCACATCAAAAAGCTTATCTACCATGATCAAGTAGGCTTCATCCCAGGGATGCAAAGCTGGTTCAACGTACACACGTCTATAAATATAATTCACCACATAAACAGAACCAAAGGCAAAAACCACCTGATTATCTCAATTGATGCAGAGAAGGCCCCTGACATAATTCAACAGCCCTTTATGCTAAAAACTCTCAATAAACTAGGTATTGATGGAACGTATCTCAAAATAATAAAAGCTATTTTTGACAAACACACAGCCAATATCATACTGAATGGGCAAAAACTGGAAGCATTCCATTTGAAATCCGGCACTAGACAAGGATGCCCTCTCTCACCACTCCTATTCAATATAGTATTGGAAGTTCTATCCAGAGCAATCAGGCAAGAAAAAGAAATAAATGGTATTCAAATAGGAAAGGAGGAAGTCAAATTGTCTCTATTTGCAGATGACATGATTGTATATCTAGAAGACCCCATCATCTCAGACCAAAATCTCCTGAAACTGACAAGCAACTTCAGCAAAGTCTCAGGATACAAAATCAATGTGCAAAAATCACAAGCATTCCTATACACCAATAACAGACTTAATGAGCGCCAAATCAAGAACGAACTGCCATTCACAACTGCTACAAAAACAATAACATACCTAGGAATACAACTAACAAGGAACGTAAAGGACCTCTTCAAGGAGAACTACAAACCACTGCTCAACGAAATAAGAGAGGACACAAGCAGATGGAAAAACATTCCATGTTCGTGGTTAGAAAGAATCAATGTCGTGAAAACGGCCATACTGCCCAAAGTAATTTACAGATTCAATGCTATCCCCATCAAGCTACCAATGACCTTATTCACAGAACCACCTTAAACTTCATATGGAACCAAAAAACCACCTTAAACTTCATATGAAACCAAAAGAGAGACCACATAGCCCAAGTCAATTCTAAGCAAAATGAACAAAGTGGGACGCATCACACTACTGGACTTCAAACTATACTACAAGGCTACAGTAATCAAAACAGCATGGTACTGGTACCAAAACAGAGATATAGACCAATGGAACAGATCAGAGGCCTCAGAAGCAACAACACATCTACAACCATCTGATCTTTCACAAACCTGACAAAAACGAGCAATGGGGAAAGGAGTCCCTGTTTAATAAATGGTGTTGGGAAAACTGGCTAGCCATGTGCAGAAAGCAGAAGCTGGACCTCTTCCTGAACACCTTACACTAAAATTAACTCCAGATGGATTAAAGACTTAAACATAAGACCTGGCACAATAAAAACCCTAGAAGAAAATCTAGGCAAAACCATTCAGGACATAGGCATAGGCAAGGACTTCATGACCAAAACACCAAAAGCATTGGCAACAAAAGCCAAAATAGACAAATGGGACCTAATCAAACTCCACAGCTTCTGCACAGCAAAAGAAACACTCATTAGTCAATCAGCAACCAACACAATGGGAAAAAATTTTTGCAGTCTACCCATCTGACAAAGGGCTGATATCTAAAATCTACAAAGAACTAAAACAGGTTTACAAGAAAAAAACAAACCCATTCAAAAGTGGGCAAAAGATATGAACAGACACTTTACAAAAGAAGACATACATGAGGCAACAAACATATGAAAAAATGCTCATCATCACTGGTCATTAGAGAAATGCAAATCAAAACTACATTGAGATACCACCTCATGCCAGTTAGAATGGCGATCATCAAAAAATCTGGAGACAACAGATGCTGGAGAGGACGTGGAGAAATAGGAACACTTTTACACTGTTGGTGGGAGTGTAAATTAGTTCAACCATTGTGGAAGACAGTGTGGCGATTCCTCAAGGACCTAGAAATAGAAATTCCATTTGACCCAGCAATCCCATTACTGGGTATGTATCCAAAGGATTATATATTGTCCTACTATAAGGCTACATGCACACGAATGTTCATTGCAGCACTGTTTACAATAGCAAAGAACTGGAACCAACCCAAATGCCCATCCATGATAAACTGGACAGGGAAATTGTGGCATATGTATACCATGAAATATTATGCAACCATCAAAAACGATGAGTTCGTGTCCTTTGTAGGGACATGGATGAAACTGGAGACCATCATTCTCAGCAAACTGACGCAAGAACAGAAAATCAAACACTGCATGTTCTCACTCATAGGTGGGAGTTGAACAATGAGAACACATGGACACAGGGAGGGGAGCATCACACACTGGGGTCTGCCAGGGGGGAAATAGGGGAGAGACAGCTGAGGGTGGGAAATGCCTGATATAGGTGATGGGGAGGAAGGCAGCAAATCACACTGCCATGTGTCTACCTCTGCAACAATCTTGCATGTCCTTCACATGTACCCCAAAACCTAAAATGCAATAAAAAAAAAAGAAAAAACAAAAATACTTTAAATTGTAAACAATGTAAAAACACTGAAACATTAAATGTTAAATATCTATTTCTCTTTAAATGTATCTCTTACATAAGCAGTATCTTTGGAGTACATTTTCTTCTAGGTAATCAATACTTCTTATCTTTGTTTAGTACCTTTAAATAATAAATACCAGCATTACTTTTTAAATGGTTTTATTTTATGTGCAAATAATGAACACATGTTGTACCCATAAATTCTACTTTCCAAAAACAGGAGCTTTTTAAAAGAAAACCACGTACGTTTTAAAAGGCATTGGGATTCCTCTGCTTCTAGATCATTGGTAGATTAGAAAAATAAAGTTTGTCCTCCCAGGAATCACAAGTTGGAACTGAGTATTCTCCAAAGTGGAAATTCTAGAGTGTAATGTCACTGCAGACAAAGATTACTCAGTTCTCATCCCCAACAACCAAAACTACCTATTGGAAGGGTTAAACCAGGTCAAAACAGTCCAGCACAATTAGGCTTCATCAAACAATATCATTATGCTCTTCTGAGATACAAATAAACCAAAACAGGAAATATTAAAATCAAAATAGTATTTGATACTGTAATACAAATTGTTATTTCCTTGTCGTATCCCCCCTTCTATAACATTAATAAAGGGAATATTTTACTGCAAATAATATTTTCTACATCGCTAACCATGAATTTTTGCCATTCTTTATTATACAAAGGCTGTCCTGTGCCATTATTCAAATGGAATAAGCATTTTACATCCACAATTCACTTCTATAGTTATAAGCAGAATTTTCATGATTTACGTAAGTACATCTGTCAGTGAAGATTTAACACTGAGATGCAATGTAACATCAGTAACATCTGATGTTTTATAGATGGCAATGTAGAAAAGATATATTTTAATCACTTTTCATTTAAGTAACCTTATATAAAAAATAAACTAATAATTTAGCAGTTCCAAGTTTCCAAAGGGCATTTTCAAACGCACATAAAAGAAATGGTTACAGAGATTTTTAAGAAGCGTCTTCCATATCCACATCCTCTTGCAACTGCTGTACCATTTTCTCTTCCAAATGCTTCCCTTTGCCTTAACAAAAATAAGTAAAAAATAAAAAAACTTAATTCCATGTGACCTTACATCAACACATCAAAACTTTATAGAGGATCCCGTGTGTTTTAAAGTAATGTTAGCCATTCCTAAGAAATTTAATAATAGCTAGCCATGCGTCAAATAGATATTCTACATACATTTGCTCATTTCACCCTCATAACAATCCCCATTTTAAATATGAGAAAACTTAGGCTCCAAGACAGATTAATTTGCTAAAGGTCACTCAACTACAAAATCATCTAAGTCAAACCACTGGTATGTGAACCTCAGCCATCTGGATCCACAGTCCCTGCTCTTAACACTGTCCTATCTACCCCAAAGAGAATTACCTAAAAATTAGATAACAATGGTTCATTTCTGGTGCTTTTTGGCTATCAATTTGTTATGTATATGTAAAACAAATGCTCCAGAATTTTGTCTATTTTGTTTTAATAAAATTTGGTACAAAAATAATACAAGTAGATTTACACAAATGTACTCAACATGTGGTTACAGAATTTGACCTTTTCTAAGGTTTAGACAAGATTTCCTTCCCTTTAAGTGATCTAGCTGTACTTGGTGTCAGCTAAGTAAAAGAAACAGTAGTCCAAATTTTAGAATCAGAATCATCCGGAATGCTACTGAACAGCAGCCCAGATTCAAAAGAGCCTGGGCCTATGTATTTAAGTTCCCCAAGTTGGTAATTCCTATACCAACCAAAGGTTGAGAACCATTAATATAAAATATTGTTCTTTAATCAAAACAAGTATGAGACAAAAATCATCTACAATATTACTCAAATGATTTTGCTTAACTTGGGGAGATACAGAACATAGAATTCAATGAAGGGAAAAAAGAAACACTGTATCAATAGATTGACTGTAACTGGAAAATACACTGAATAAATTAACTTTTTACAGACCAAATCATACCATAAATTTACTAAGACAATATTTAAAGGAAAAAAATACCCAAAGTAAGTTGGTACCCAAATACACAGACCTCAAAAATCTAGACTTTTTCAGTTTTCTTCTTAAAGCAGAGAACTCCTGCGTAGTGTAATGTAATACTCACCTGCAAGAGGGGCTCGGATAAGATGGATGTTTTGCTTGACTTCTTTGATATCCTGAACTTTCTGTAGCTCTTTATTTTTCTTCAGTCTTTAATAAAACACATTAAAGCCAAAATTTCAGTTACTAACGCTTCTTTAAGAGGCATCAATTCACAATATGGCTTCTAAATTTTGTTACTTAAGTTTGCCACACAGATGGGGAATGGGAACATGACGGCTGCCCTTCTGTTCATTCCCCTTTCTTCTTCCCACAATGCACCCCGTCCAACAGGAACATCAACACCAAGTCAACAAAGAGCCTCTCAGTTCTCTCAAATTATTCCCAAATGGCAAGCGGTGAACTCAACAGGTATAAGTTAATATAAAAGAGATATATACCTTATAGTTATTCCCAAATCTAAGGCAAGGTCACCTATTAAGCCCTCACAAATGTACACTTACTTCCCTAACAACTCAAAATTTTAGTTCATAATTAGCTTAAAATAGGATTCCTATCCTACCACAAAATTTGTTCATTCAATCATTGTATCCCTTTGGACCTAGCCTGGCTCAAAATGGAGGCTCAATATATATTTGCTGAGTAAATGAAGGATGTGACTCATGAAAAGGAGTAGTGCTCTACCACATAAAACAAACTCTAACTGTTAAAGTGCCTAGATCTTTTCTCCTCACATACATAAGTCTCTGTTATATAATTTTTTAAAAACTCTTTGGTAATTACAAGAGCACAAAACACATGCTATTCAACAGAAATGCTAACAAACTAGTTCTCAAACATTTTTCTAAAATGCTTTAACATTTTTAAGCCAGAAAGCTGCTAGCACATGCTTCTTCTCCATGACGTATTCCACAGCAATTAGTTTAAAAGCTAATGATCCTGCTCTGAAAAAAAGGGCTGATTCCAGGCTCGGGAAAAGGAAGCAGAAGATGAGTCTTGAGACATCTTGTTAGCTATAAAACATGAATGCACTCAAAGAATGATGAGAATTGTCAAAATGACATGAGAGTCGGCCAAAGGAAATCCCACAGGCCAAACTTGGGCCACTCAGAACATTAAAATAAATAATGACAATAAAGAATTATAACCCAATGTATACCATAAGAATCCATAAATACACACAGATGTAATACGAACAAAGGAACAAATCTTGAAATTGATAGAAAAGGAAAAGCTCTTTCTTACATGAGAAAGTCAACTACGAAATGTAGAAGAAATGATGGAATTAGAAAAACCACCATTTGGCAACAATCACAATAATAGTAACTGATTCAGACAAGACTCTAAGCAAAGCTAAAACCAATAGGTACAAGTTTGAGAAGTAATAGGCTCTTTAATTGAATCTCTTTGTATCTCCCACAAGATGTGTACTGTTTACAAGGAAAACAAAGTAGTAATCTTTCAGTGGAGAAACCTGACAGACTTCACCTTAATCAAGTGGTCAAAGTTAACATCATCAGCAAGGTGACATCATGTGCTTCCCGATATGATGCATGAGAAGAATACACCATTATTTCTGTGACACCCCGGCAAAATGTACCTAGCCTAAATCTAATGAGGAAGATATCAGACAAACCCAAATTGAAGAACATTCTATACAATAACCTGACCTATATTCTTCAAAACTATCAATGTCATGTAAAACAAAGAAAGATGAGAAACTGTCCAAATTAAAAGAGGCTGAAGAAATACGAAGGACTTTCTGTTGCCATGGATGTAATCAGAATAACTGGTGAGGTCTGAACAAGGTTAGTATTACATCAATGTTAATTTCCTGACTGATAGATAACCACACTGTGTTTAAGAGAATGTTCTTATTTTTAGGTTATATACACTTAAGTATACTTAGAAGGAAAAAGCACTATGTCTTCCATACATTGTGACAAGGATAAAGTAAATGTAAAATGCTAGCAGAATATACAAGAGCCCTTCATATTACTCCTGGAAGTTTTTGTCAAGTCTGGAGTTATGTCAAAATAAAAAGTTAAAAAAAATACTAATGCCTCTAAATATCTACTAGTAATTATTTTCCAAAAGTTACTCCATACAAATATTCATACCTGTTCATTATAAATTTAGCTTGGCGTTTCTGTTTGATCTCTTCAACTCTCTTCATTGCATCAACTACAAAAAAATTCACAAGTTATTAGCAAATGTATGCACATTCAAGCAGTATGATCAACAACTACATTAACAAACACTTCTTTATTATTCTGATTTAGAAATGAATCTACATGAAAAAAAATCCTTACAAAAACAATCCCTACTCAAAAAGCTGAAGAAGGTATATACTCATGGCTATCATCACTGTCAACATTCTCTTTCACAATTATCACTTCTTTAATTTTTATTTGGAAAAAAGTCTCTATTGCTGTTAAACTTTCCTTCACTTTAAACCAATCCAATGTTTTTCAAATGTTTTTTTAAAAAGAGAACTTGGACTGCTGACAACTAATCCCATACATAACTTGTAATTTCCATGAATAAAGAAAGACAGCACCTTTCTGGTTATGAACACTTACAGTGCCTGGGATACAGTCACCACATGACACTGGCAGAATGAACCAAACAATCAATACTAAAATGTTCTCAACCACAAAAAGCCAACTGTTTTGGAAAATGTCTGCAGGAGCGCTAGCTAAAAGGGGGCTGAGTCCAACCACGCTCTAAAGTTACTATCAATACTATCCAATAAAAAACAAACCACATATGAAATTTTAAATTTTTCAGTAGCCATATTTTTTAAAGTAAAAAGGAACAGCTGAAAATTTAATGATATACTTTGCTTAATCCAATTTTCCAAAATATTGTCATTCAACATGTAATCTATATAAAATTATTAGTGAAATACTGTATTTCCGTTTTCATATTGTCTTAAAATTCATCATTCATTTTACATTTATAGCACACCACAATTTAGTCACATTTCAAGTGCTCCATAGCTTAGACACCACAACTTCTAATCTAGCTCCTTAAAGTGTAGTCTGTAGATCTAAGTAAGATATGTATAGAGTACTTTTTTTTGAGACTGAGTCTTTCTCTGTTGCCAGGCTGGAGAACAGTGGCGTGATCTCGGCTCACTACAACCTCCCTGGTTCAAGCAGTTCTCCTGCCTCAGCCTCCCGAGTAGCCGGGATTACAGGGACACGCCACCATGCCCAGCTAATTTTTGTATTTTTAGTAGAGACAGGGTTTCACCATGTTGGCCAGGATGGTCTCGATCTCCTGACCTCATGATCCTCCCGCCTAAGCCTCCCAAAGTGCTGGGATTACAGGCGTGGGCCACCACTCCTGGCCAACAAAGTCTTAAAGCATCTCCCAAAAGTATACTTACGAATTAAAAAGAGTAAAACAGTAACTCTCCAGTGGAAAAACCTGGCAGACACCACCTTAAACTAATGATCAAGGTTAACACTGCTAGTAACAGAACTAATGAACAGCTTGTTGTCTCTTGACAAAACACTGAAAAAACTCAGCATCAAATCTCTGGTGCTCTTGCCAAATGTGCATTATCTAAACCTAATCTTAAGGAAACATCAAACAAAAACCAGTTAAGGAATTTTATACCGAACACTTGGCCCATACATCTTCTTCAAAACTGTCAATATCATGAAATATAAAGACAAACTCAGGCAATGTTCCAGATTAAAAGAGATTAGAGACCTGACATGTACTATTCTTAAACATTTTGCGATAAAGGCTATTACTGGTACAGTAGGAGAAATATGAATAGGTCTAAGATTAGGTAATAATATTCTACCAATGTTAATCTTGATCTTAATAACTGCAGTGTGGTTATGTGAGAGAATGCTCTTATTTCTGGAAATACATATTAAACTAGGGATAAAGAAGTATTATGTATGTTTAAACAGCTCAGAAAAATATCATACACTAGAGAGAAAGAGAGACAAAGAAAAAAAATTAATTCAACAAAACGTTAGCATTCAGGGAATCTGGATGAAGGAGATCAGAGAACTGTACTCCTGCAACTTTTCTGTACTCTGAAATTAGGTCAAAAAAAAAAAAAAAAAAACCTTTTTAAAAAATGTAGTCTGGGACCAGTAACAGTAGCATCATTCGGGAGCTTGTTAGAAATAAAGGATTTCAGGCCCACACAAACCTGCTATATCTGAATCTACATTTTAACCAAAACCCCCAGGACAATCTTTGAGACCTCTAGTATTAAAACAACGCTTCTATAAATAACTGTAATAAAATGTCAACTATAAATCTGGATATGCTACAGCTCAGAATTAGTAATATGCTGGATATATAAATTTTTTGTCTTTCAACAAAAATAAGGACAAGGTCTAGTATTCAGAAGCATTTCCACATTTTAAAGTTATTTAGAAGGGAAATAAACACAAGTGGCAGGAAAATCCTTTCCAAAGAATATTATATCGTTATTTCCAAAAATTCCGGAAGACTGAAACATTTTGAACCTAAGAGGCATCTGACAGCACAATTCACAATTGCAAAGATATGGAACCAACCTAAGTGTCCACCAACCAATGAGTGGGTAAAGAAAATGTGGTTATTTATACACCATGGAATAGTACTCAGCCAAATAAAAAAGAACGAAATAATGTCTTTTGCAAGAACTTGGACGGAGCTTGAGGCCATTCTTCTAAGTGAAGTAACCCAGGAACAAAAAACTTAATACTGTATGTTCTCACTTGTAAGTGGGAGCTAAGCTATGGGCAAACAAAGGCACACAGAGTGATATGATGGTCTATGGGGACTCAGAAAGGGGAGTGGGGCAGGGTAAGAGGTAAAAACTATATATTGGGTACAATGCACACTACTCAGCAGATGGATGCACTAAAATCTCAGATTTCACCACTCTACAATTAATCCATGTAAACAGAAAAAACACTTGTACTCTAAAAGCTATTGAGATTAAAAACAATTTTTTTTAAAAATAAAATACGTAAAAAGTTAAAATAAAAATCAGCACCTTAACAAAGGTTGTTCAATCCATATCCTCACACAATTTGACAACGTGAGTAAGCCATGCATACAAAACTCTTGTCAACAGATTAGTTTATAGACAAAATGATGTTAAAATATGAGAGGTGTGGGGAATCAATGAATCTCCTAGAAGAGTATTTTTCTGGAACCCTACTGACAACTTTTATTGTGTAAAACACTAGGAAACAATCTTAAATTCTAAAGACCCTCATAGTATGTACCCAACACTCATACTGTGCACCTAGCAAATCTTCTCAGAAAAATCTATTTTTAGGATCCCAGTAAAAAGGAAAGCAGAATCAGTGCAGAGGGAAAAAAAGAAAAAAATCAATAGAGCACTGCTTCTTACAGCATTTACAGATTTACTGCAGTTTTTTTTTCCCTTAGCTCATCAGCTATCACCAGGTATAAAGAAGGGGGGCAAGAGAATGAGACTCTGTAATAAAACCCAACAGAAACAATAAAATAGGAGTACTTGGTAAATGCACTTAGAGGGCAGAGGCTGTGTGTGACGCGTTCATCTCTATATGACCCAGGTAGTGCTTAATAAATGTACACTGAATTAAAATAAATTAAGAAATGCAGAGAATATTACCATTACAGCATGTGAAGTCTTACAGAACACAGCAGTATTTCTCTCAAGTAATGTAAATAACACTAAACCAGCATGAAGGACCACAGAACTGATTATTCACGTATCACTAAAATGGGATATGCACCTCAATTTCAACAACAACCTAAATACCTACTAAGTAAAAGTAGTTATAAAATATGTAAAAATGATCTGGAGCTGCTGTCTTCATGTAACAACAACAACAACAAAAACAAAGGTCAAATGAAATAAAACTGAATTTAATCCAGAAATGCTTCAGGACTGTCCAGGTGTGATGGCTCACACCTGTAACCCTAGCACTTTTAGAGGCCGAGGCAGGCAGAATGCCTGAGCTCAGGAGTTCACAACCAACCTGGGCAACATGGTGAAACTCTACTAAAATACAAAAAAAATTAGTATGGCAGCATGTGCCTATAATCCCAGCTCCTCGGGAAGCTGAGGCAGGAGAACTGCTTGAACCCAGGAGGCAGAGGTTGCAGTGAGCTGAGATCAGGCCACTGCTTCCAGCCTGGAGTAAGACTCTGTCTCAAAAAAAAAAAGAAAGAAAAGAAAAAAAAGAAAGAAAGAAATGCTTCAGGACTTTCCTATGTCCTTCATAAGGGTGCCTTTTGAAATTAATTTAAGAATCTTATAAGTTAATCTCTTTAGAAATCCTTCAGTGCCTTTTGAAATTAATTTAATAATCTTTTAAGTTAATCTTTAAAATCCTTGAGTTTGAATCAGTGTTATTTGCTTACCAAATAAACCCAATAAAATCAACTGCTTTTCAGATATTAACTCTTCCTCTAATTATAAAGCAGAAGGAAAAGACCTTATTTTTTAAAAAGGGGGTGGGGGAGACCCAAAGGGCACAATAATTAGGTCTATCTGTAGAAAAGGCAGTTGCAGGCTGGGCAAGGTGGCTCACGCCTGTAATCCCAGCACTTAGGGAGGCCAAGGTGGGCAGATCACAAGATCAGGAGATCAAGACCATCCTGGCTAACACGCTGAAACCCTGTCACTACTAAAAATACAAAAAAATACAGGTGTGGTAGCATGCACCTGTAGTCCCAGCTTCTCAGGAGGCTGAGGCAGGAGAATCGCTTGAACCCGAGAGGTGGAGGTTGCAGTGAGCTGAGATTGCGCCACCGCACTCCAGCCTGGGCGACAGAGCGAGACTCCATCTCTAAAATAAAAATGAAAGAAAAAAAGGAGAAAAAATAAAAAAATTTTTTAAATATATTCTCCACATGGTCCAGCATAAACAAAGCTTTAGAACAAGCTTGTCCAACCCATGGCCTAACATAAATTCGTAAACTTTCTTAAAACATAAAGAGTTCTTTTTTTTTTTTTTCCTTAGCTCACCAGCTGTCACTAGTGTTAGTGTATTTTATGTGTGCCCCAAGACAATTCTTCTTCCAATGTGGCCCAGGGAAGCCAAAAGATTGGATGCCCCTGCTTTAGAAGGTGTTGAATACTACTACAAAGGTCCACAAATTTTCAATTCTTCCCTGAAGTCTCATGACTAACTGAAATACAGAAAGCGATGCCCTACCCATGATCCATTAGGAGAGTAATAAAGTTTGTGGAATTCTTAGCCTTACAGACTCTGGTTAACAAACCACATCACCCCCACACCCAATACTAGAAAGGGCTACAGGCTGCATAAATGCAGCCAAAGGAAGAAAAGAAGGCAGGGCCAGACTGAGTGCAGTGACTCATGCCTGTAATCCCAGCATTTTGGGAGGCCAAGACAGGTGGATCACTTGAGGTCAGGAGTTTGAGGCCAGCCTGGCCAACATGGCAAAATCCAGCCTCTACTAAAAATACAAAAATTAGCCAGGTGTTATGGCAGGTGCCTGTAATCCCAACTACCTGGGAGGCTGAGACAGGAGAACTGCTTGAACCTAGGAGGCAGAGATTGCAGTGAGCCGAGATCACATCACTGCACTCCAGCCTGGGGGACACAGTAAGACTTTGTCTCTAAAAAAAGCAGGGCCAAGGGTCCCAAATATACACAAACATGGTGGAATCTACAAGCTAGCTCAAGGGATTAACTTTTTCTACATATGGGACGTTTTTCATTAAAGTCTCTGCCTACTTCAGAAAAAAAAAAGACAAGAACTAGGTATTATTGCTTTTAATTTCAGTAGATTGTAATTTCATTTTTTACCTAAGTCAAACACTTAGAAATTATCTCAGAACACTTGTAATGATGACATTAAGTGCTAATACTTTTTAATTTTAAAGAAGCACTGAACTTTATAAGGTATACAGAGTACAAGTTTATATCCTAAACTATGTGGTCTAAACATGTAAAGTGTGTTAGGTTCTACGTGTATTTTAACTGTCCCATGCTCACCCTAAAACAGTATTTTCCATCTCTACTTTTTTCAGCCTTATGCATGTTTTTACATCTCTGTGTGGGCAGTTAAACTAGTATCAATGTTAATAACTACATTATTTTAAAGTGAACACATTGGCCAATTCTAAAAACAAAATTTGATAAATGACTACAACAGAACCATTAAAATAATAAAAGCCAAGAAATGAAAAATGGAAAATTCAATATTTAAACAACAAAATGACACTTAAAGCTATGGTAATATTCCAAAACCAGTCTCTCCTCAAAATTACTGGTATTTCTTTGTGACTTACTAGTTTTATTCCATAGTTCTCGCTGGTATTTGATAGGTTCATTTCTACGCTTTTCAAATTCAAATGAATTATCCTGTAAGAGGGAATAGAGGAGATAAAAATAAGGTTTTTAGAAAGTTAGAAAGGAAACATTTCTTAAAACATTTTCCTTTTCATAAGTGTTCTGGGTGAACATACATCAAGATACACCCCTCAGGGATATCTCAGAGAATACAGGTTTTCAAACTTTTTCTCTTTACACACCTCCACGTACAAGACAGCCTGCTGAAAACATCTCTCTATATACCAGTGATTCTCAAAGGGAGAGGAGGGGACACTAAAACCCTCAAACCTCAGAAGGGCATATAACAATGATCAGGATTAAGAACTACAAAATCTTCCCAATTTCCCATTCCCAGATAAGATTCAAAGCCAGAAAACTTTGAATTATGTTGAAACATATGAAACTGCCATTTTTCACGGATCAAAAAAGTCAACATCAAGAATTGCATGTCCTTCCTGTAGGAGATAGAAAAAAGAGAGAGAGAAAAGAAATAATTTCATATGATTCAACCTATAAATATCTATTCATTATAGCAAAAATGTATGACTACTATATAAATAATATCTTCAAATAAATGAGGTGCTACAGTGCAGAATGTAAGTCAGACCCTGCATTTCTTCAGGGCCCCTCCAAGCATTGTTACCATTGCTAGCAGCTGGTATTTTTAGTTAATGATCCTTTTAATCTTAAAACACACAAAACAATTTTGGAAAAGCTACAGGTATATCTTGGTTTTCAAATCTATCTGGCAGGCATATAAAACAGCACTACCTCTGTATTTAGCTATTTCTTTTCTACATACACCTTTATTCAGATCATATAACCTCAGCCACAAGGTAAATGGTAATCAATAAATGGCTGTGACTGGCAGTTTCTTCTCGAGCAGTTGCATATGGGCTGCTATGCTTCTTCTTGCCCAGAATGAAGATTATTTTTGTAATAGTAATCACGATTTGGCCTTGCATCTTGTCAAATAATACTCTTTATATTCATCGGAAAGCTCTGGGATTAAGGAGGCCAGGAAAGGGCTTCATGGAAATTGATTGTAGATACTGCCCTTTAGTAGCAGAAAGGAGTCATAGGTTTGGTGTTTGGTGGGGAAAGGAGGCAATGGACGGAGGCGACAGTTTAAAAAGATCTCCCTCCCTCAAAGGTAGCCTGTACTGCATTTCATCCCCTTCCTTTACAGGGACTGAATGCAAACAGCTTCAAAATATCCTTTTATCAAATCAATATAACAATTTAATGATGGGTGCTCATTCTATTAAATCCTTTTCCCCCTGGACTTCTCTCTAGTCCTCACACCAACACTACTAATTTCTCTGCTCTCAGATACAAAGTCCTGCTGAGGAAATCCAGAAACTGATAAATGAGTCTATTATAAACTTCACCTGAGCTTTGACAGCTGTTCAGAAAACCTTTAATTTATCTCCTAACTGCATCTCAAAATCTTTGAGTAGCAATTCCCAACTTCACCCCGAGCCATTTAAGTAATTTTCCTCCTTGTCTGCAAGAGTTAAAAATAGTGGCTCCACAGAATTACAGCTTTCAGGATCATGTGAGAATAAGATTATTTCCACAGCCAAATACAAATAAAGCAGTTATTAATCATGTTATAGGAAGGCTTGTTATGACTGATTAAATAACATACGCCCTCCAAATACTAAAACTGTGAAACGTGTAAACACTGTGTTGCTGGCTAACTGTACTCACCACTGTAAGCTCTTTACCAGCTGCTTTCCGGAATGCTTTGGTCCACCTAACTTTGCGAGGATTGCGCTTCTTTTTAAAGTTTTTATGACATTTAGATTTACAAAATCTGAACACCTAGAAGAAAAGTTAAAATATGGAGAAGTCAACATTTGAAACTTTCTATCATAAGACGTTACCCTGGCTGGACAAAAACTACTTTTCCTTCTACTTACACTGCCTTTTAGAAATGTGTAAGATATATCAGATTAAATGGAAACAACTATTTTTTAACTATCAAACATCATCCCAACCAAAGGCTAATGGCCCTGAAAATATGATTTAAAATCACTAATCATTATAGAATAACAGTAAAAGTATCTCAACTAAAGGGAATAGTTTTAAGTAAAGTCACTTATTTAAGTCATTTCTTAATTCAGGATAATTTTCAAAATTCACTGTCTCTATACCTCAATGGGGATAAAAGTTTCAAACAACCATTACTGAAATCTCCTTTGAGTCTTTCCCTCTTTCTTTTTGAAAGCAAAATAATTTCAAAAGCAACTAAAACTGGTAATATAACAGACTTGTTTTCTACTTATTCATAGATCTACTAGCAAGATTCTTTACTACTTTAATTCTCTTCACCCCAAAAGACATAATCCTTTAATAATGCTGACAACCTAATGATGCTTCAACATGCTCCTGAAATGGCTTATTAGGACTCATTTCATAAATCTAACGGTATTGTTTTGTTACTCTGTAAAGCCTTACAACGCACTGCAATTTGTATATGCCACTGGAGGAAATGGGGAGAGGAAAAGTAATTATTTGGGATTTGTGGATCTTGGTAAAGAAAATTAAATTGAATTATCAGACCTAGAAGGTATGACAGATAATTAAATAGGTCAAAATAAACAGTAAAAACACTTCAAACTAAATAAGCCTGTGTATGTATCACAAATCATAATACTTTTCACCTTTTATATACACTGCCCTATGGGGAACTTCAAGTAGGTCACTACACACAGTGTAGGACAGTTTTCTTAGAAACTGTTTAAATGGCTTTGTGATATGTTTTAAATTTTTAAAAAAGAAAATTTTTTTAAAAAATTGAACTGTTGCTATTAGTTTAATCTGATCCAGACGCATACCTCCTAGGCAGCCTTCTCCTAAGACACTAAAGTGAAAACATGTCTATATCCTTGAGTTAATGTCAAATAGACTAGAAAAATATAAGCACTACTACAGTCTCCTGGCATAGCCTACTATGAAATCATGAATGAAAAGTAAATATATGAAAATCACTGTGAAATGAATTACCATACTTCATTTAAGTATTTTCAGCCCAAAATACTACTACTTTTTTAAGTAAAAGCCTTCCATATTTAATACCTACTAGATGGCCCCTAGGTAAATTCCTTTTTTTAATATTTATCTAATGGGAGGACTAAACTTGTTCTGGCTCTTCTCAATTCCAAAAAGATCCAATGAGGAATCTACTTGGCTCCTTATCTAACAGGTATTACCTGAAAGGCACAATGAAGGATTTAAAGAGAATTGTAACTACAGGAGGTGCCAAAGGGATTCAATCAGCAAATAAGGAGCATCCAAATGCCTGATGTTGTACTAGTGCTAAAGATACAAGAACAATTAAAACTTGGTACTCTACCTTAAGAAGCTTAGTCTAGCAATGTGATAGTCTCACTTTGTGATCAACTAAGATCCATGATCTGACTAGGATACAAACAATGGGATAAAGCTATAATCAGGCATGATGTAATATGTAAACACACATGAGGAAGTGGTTAAATCTGGTGGGGTAAGAGGTGGATGGCTCACCTGTCAGGCAAAGCTTTACAGGCTCAGTTTCTCTTCTAATTTAGTCCTCTAAATGCTAACATGCTAACAAATGGTCCACCATACCTTGGACTCAAAGTTCTTGAAACCTTTCTTATTCCACTAATTCAACATTTATTAAGCCCTCGTTAAGACTGTATGTACTTTTCCTGTTTGCAAAGTATGTGCAAATATGGAGCATTAGCATTAATACTACCCTTAACCCATTTGTGCCTAAGAAGAGTAAAAGGTGAAGCTTCTATTAAAAACAGTCTTGGCCAGGCGCGGTGGATCATGCCTATAATCCCAGCACCTTGGGAGGCCAAAGCAGGCAGTTCACAAGATCAAGAGATTGAGACCACCATGGTCAACATGGTGAAAGCCATCTCTACTAAAATACAAAATTTAGCTGGGCTGGGTGGCATGTGCCTGTAGTCCCAGCTACTCAGGAGCTGAGACAGGAGAATCACTTGAACCCGGGAGGTAGAGGCTGCAGTGAGCCAAGATTGTGCCACTGCACTCCAGCCTGGTGACAGAGTGAGACTCCATCTCAAAAAAAAAAAAAAAAAGCTCTCAGAAACTGAGAGAATAAAGGTAGAAAGACTAGTTAAAGCCTAGGCAAAACAGCAAGTCCCTGTCTCTACAAAAAAAATAATAATAATGTACCTGTCTCTACAAAAATGTTTTTTTAATGTTGGGCATGGTGGTGTACATCTGTAGTACCAGCTATTCAGGATGCTGAGGAGGGAGGATTGCTTAAACCCTGGAGATTGAGGCTGCAGCGGGCCATGATCACACCACTACAAGCCAGCCTGGACATTAGACAGTGAGACCCTGTCTCAAAAAAAGAAAAAATGACTAAGAGGCTATAAAAGTGGCAAGTGCCTTATCTGAACTAGGGCAGGAAAGGAGAAAGAAGGCAAAGACAGCACTATCTTTGCAGAAGCAGAATAGGTAACACTTGATAACTAGATACAAAAGGTGAAAGATTCAAAGATGACTCCCACGTTTCTAGCAGAACTATCCCGGCACTTAAGAGTGGTATTAATTCATACAGCAAAAAGATTTGAGGTACTAAGGAACTCTCTTTCAGTAGGCCCAGTGGAAAATTCAGATTTGGAGCTCAAGAGATTTAGACTTCGAAATCAAGAACACAGAAAAGATAAGATACTTGTTCTTTGTTAGTGCTTCAGGCCCTCTATCTTTTATTTCCCCCATCAGCTTTCTTCTGGATCCACTGGTCTTCCTTAGGCCAAGCTGACCCCCAACCAGCTCAACACTGTCCCTGCTAGACTTCATCAACTCACTGTGTCCACCAAATCAGTAATACCCAGGTCTTGACAGCTCCCATGATCTGCTGTTGTAATTCCAATATTCAGCTGACAAGCATTCCGGACAGAAATCACAAAATCGTAACTAGATCATCTATAGAACCGTGCTGCCTACTCTGAATTAGACCCAAACCTGGCAATCTTTTGACTCATTTTTATAAACTTCTTATCACGTTCCTGAGAGCAAGTATTCAAAATGTTCTATGTTCTTTTATGTTCCCAAACATAGTTTTCGTCTCTCACTTTCAACTGAATCCCTTGCCCTAATTAATGAGGTCAATATCTTTGATCTACTACAGAGATATAAGGTGATGAAGGCAGACTTCTAATTCTTTAGCATGTCAAATTAACTTTAATATGCAGATTCTTAAACCCTCTTCCCCTCCCGCAAAAATTCCAACTCAATAGATCTGGTGGAAACCAGGAATCTGTAAACGCCCAGTAATTGAGAAGCAAATATAAGAGGTCCAATTCTGAGAAACAATGTGTTTTTCTGAGAGGAATGGGATTCATTCTGATATCACAGGAATTTCATGTACCATTCAAAACGTCTTTCACAACTAGGACTTATTTTTTTTACGTTTATAGGCTTATCATATTTATACTTGTAGCCCAACCCCCAAGACTCTATCATCATTTAGAATCCAGTCACTTCCTCAAACAAATGTATGTGCTTCGTTCTCTCTGCCTTCCACTTACAAGGCCCCCTTCGCTCTTTCTTCTACAAAATTCAGGGTCCAGGATAAATGTCACCTCCATTGTGAGTCTTTCCATACAGGACCCTCCCCAACTCACATGCAGTAACTTCATACATAACTCTACCATTAAGCAATATGGAACACTCCCATCAACCTCTACACTTTAGTACGGACCTCAGTATAATGCCTGGCAGGGCATACATTCAACCAAGTTTGCTGGATTCAAGAACTTGGCCACGTACATAAGTGACCAAACAGTCGTCATAGACATTCAAGATTCCCAGCAGGCGCTTGTTGGGATCGCTGGTGAAGCTCCTTACTGCCAACGCAACCCAAAGGTGGCCTAGTGGCCAGCGTCGCTCGAGACACCGGCAAGGAGAAACTCCTGAAGCGGAGCGTTGAGGCCGGAGCCCCAGTTAAGCCACCCTCCCACGGAAACAGCGGGAAGAACCCGGGCCAAACCCGGCAAACGCAGAAGCACCCGGCACCGAGCCAGCGCGCCCAGGAACAGCGGGAGAGCTGCTGAAGCGCGGGCTGGCCTCGGCCGCCTCGCCCCTCACCTTGCAATCGTTGCGTACGAACATCATACCGTGGCCAGGGTAGATGGGCCCGGAACAGAAATAACACTTCTCGATACGCATGTTGAACCCGCGTGGGTCCCCACTGACCAAACGCCAAGCTTCGAAAGAAGTGACGTAGCACTGTCGCCGGAAGTGACCTTCTTTCTCTTCCCCGACCCGAAAAAAGCTAGCGTCCTTACTTCTCGCGGGGCAGTTAGACGAGATGTGAACACGGTGGCCGCGCAGTCAAAAAGCGCTGCCATTTGGCGCAGGCGCAGAGCTGCAGACTAGCCTTCCCCTTTACCTTGGGAAAATGCGGTTCTGCGCCACTTTCTGAACTCGCTGTCAAGGCGTCTAGTCTTTCCTCTCTATAAGTCGCATTTACACATGTCTTATGTATCTTTGGTTTGTGCTTTGTCCCGAGTGCTCTCGAAAGCACTCTCTTAATTTGTCCACTGCCTGCCCTAGACAGCCCTCGATTCTCGTCCCATGGTGGTTTGCAGGTTTAAGCGGCGAAGAACCTGCAATCCAGCGTTGCTTCAAATATTGCAATGAAAACGGTTGAGTCGCTGAGGCTTCAAGGACTTAACCAACAATTTTTTTGAATATAAAACGGTGTTCTCCGCCTTTCTCCCCCCCCCCCCCGCCATTTTAATTAATATGCAGTAAACAAACGTGTTCGCAGGAAGCTACCATTCCCTCCCCAGACCTGTATTCTTCCTACCCATGGGCAAAACAGTTCCGTTTATTACCTACCAGGGCTTTTCTGTGCATAGGCAAACATGGATATTTGTGTGTTTGCCTCTAATTCCTCTTCTTTATAACACTAATGAATATGCTATTTACTTTTTCTGCATCTTGCCTCCATTCACAGGAATGTGAGCTCCATGAGAGGCAAGGATTTCAGTTAGTTTTCTTTACAACTACATCCCTAGTATCTGGAATAGTCCCTGGCACATAATAGGCATTTGATACATATTTTATTGTAAAATATTTATTCTTTTTCATAAATATATATATATATTCCATTGTATGAAAGTATCATTTTAATTGGTTACTAATCGATGGACAGTCTTATCTTTTGGTATAACAAACATCTTTACTGGTACACTTTTTTCAAGAGAGAGTTTATTTAGAACTGCTGGATCAGAGAAGATGGATATACATATAGAAAGTTTTAAATTTTGGTAGATAATACCAAATTGCCTTCCAAAAGTTTTTACCAATTAAGACTCAGCATCAATAAATAAGATGCCTGTTTCACTACACCCCTGTAAAAAGTGATCTTTGCCATCCTGAGATGAAAATGTATCTTATTATTATTTAAACTTGAATTTAATTACAAGCAAGGTTAAGAATCGTTCACAACGTTTTCCAACCTTTTTCTGTGAATTGCCTCTTCAGGTCCTATACCATTGTCTATTCTGTTGTTGATTTTCAACAGCACTTTACACATTAAAGTTAGTCCTTTGCCGACATGCATTTAGAAATCATTTCTCTATCAATATTGTAAGCTTTGCTCATAGTATTTTTCCATGCAGAAATACGTTGTTTGTATATTCAGATTTATCCAATTTTTTATGATTTTGGATTTGGCACTTTCCTTTAAACTGCACTTCTCCAAAATTGTTTTTCAAAATGTTTTCTCTTATGTTTTATAGTATCAGTTTTTTGCATCTGAATTTTCAACTTGTCTGGAATTTAAGTATAAATGACAGAGGACTCCAGTGTTTATTTTTCCCTCAGTGCTATATGTTAATAAAGCATCCTTTCCCCCACTCACTCAAAATGTCACTTATCTATGGCTCCATTTCTGGACTCTGTTCCATCTTTTTATTTGTTAATGTGCGTGTTCTGAAATACCTAAATTATTGTAATTTTTTAAATAACTGGGTTTACCTCCTCTCCCTTTGTATTAGTTTTCATGTTGCTGATAAGACATGCCAGAGACAGGGTAATTTATACAAGAAAAAGGTTTAATGGACTCACAGTTCCACAAGGCTGGAGAAGCTTCACAATCATGACAGAAGGCAAGGAGGAGCAAGTCACATCTTACATGGGTGGCAGCAGGCAAAGGGAATGAAAGTGGAACCCCCTTTAAAACAATCAGATCTCCTGAGACTTATGCACTATCACAAGAACAGTATAGGGGAAACTGGCACATGATTCTATTATCTCCCAGCAGGTCCCTCCCATGACAGGTAGGAATTATGGGAGTTATAATTCAAGATGAGATTTGGGTGGGGAAGCAGCCAAACCATATCACCCCTCCTTCCTTGTCCTTCTTATTCATTATTTATATAGCTATTCTTTTACATTTACCTTTTCATTTTAACTCTAGAATCAGTTTGTATAGTTATAATCTTCAAATACACACAATTTTCCTTGTATCAGATATTTAATTTTTCTTATCTAGTCATTCAACCAGTAATTCCAAAGTAATGTTAAATAACAAAGGCATGTACCAGAAATTTTAGTAATAAACATCTGTTCGAAACTTTATTGTCAACCAAGAGATTGAAAATTATTTTACTTTTCATTATTCTTCTCTCCTACCCTCCTCAGCAATTATGGAAGAGTCTCACCAGTCTTTGCAACCTTTACACAATTCCTTCCCAACTCTCAGTTTGTTCCTTCTACTTCACCAAGAAATGTTATGCCCATTCCGCCTACATGAACACCCAAGTTTGCCTGTTATCTTTGATGTCAGAGGCCACATCCTTTATGTGTTCTTAATTCCATAACTGAAGGCTTCATCTGAGACTTTGTTCCCTTCAGTCTGTGAACATACTTGGTGCTTCATTTTAGATTGAGTGGGTGTGTAGCCAGCCTTAGAAACTATTTTTTTAATTTCCACCTATATTAATGGAATACAAGATTGAACTGAAATGTTGGAAATATGATTTCATTTATTCTGCTTGGGGCTTATGATTCCTAAAACTGAGAGTATATGTCTTGTATCATTACTGAAAAATTCTCAGCTATTATCTTTTCATACAGTGCCTCTTCCTACAGTTTCTCTAATTTTCTAGAATTTTTACTAAATATAAGTTAGTAAAACTTTTTTTCCCCCTCGATGTCTTTTAACCCCTCCAGGACTTTCTCCTTATCTCTGTCTGCAGAATTATGGGTAATTGCCTGTGACCTGCCTTCTAGAATTTTCTCTTCAACTCTACCAAACCTGTCATTTAACCTCTAACCATTAAGTCTTGAATATCAGTGGCTATATTTTTCATTGTTGAACTTTTTTTTTAAATTCAAACCAGTCTGGTATCTCTAATATTGTCTTCTTTTCTGGATTTTTCAGTTCCTTTAAAGCTTGTGATTACTTTAAACCTTTTAACTTTATGGACTCTGTCTGATAAGCATATTATTTGAGGTTCCTAAATGCCAAAACCTGCTGTTTGTTTGGTCTACTGGCCCTTGCTAATGATTGAAGGATGAAGAAGAAATAGATTGTAATTTTTCATTATAATGTCATCCATAGTTGAGTGTTTTCTGGTCTATGCAAAAATGTTCCATCTGCAAACATTTTTGCTTTGCTTCTACCAAGTAATCCATAACTAATCACTTCTTTAAAATGTTAATTTTTGTTAATATCTTGATTTAACATACCCAGAAAACTTAGGTAGTATACACTTGAATCTCAAACCTATGTTCAAGCAGACCTGTGGTTATAAATTTTCACAAGAGATTAAAGACATAGACCAGGTCCTGGATTTCTGTGTGTTTGAGGACAGAGGGCTTCAGTTTCAGCACCCTATTCTCAACAGACCCAAGGTTTTCTCTACTAACGCTTTGTGGCCATTATAACAAAGCATCCTGATTACTGAAACTGGCAAAACCAAACCAAAAGCAAACCACATTCAGCATCAGGTTGTTGTAAGTTCCCTCTGTTGTCTGTTTTCAAGGGGAAGGAGGTGGTCTTAGGGTGTGGCCCATATATTTTTGAGAAATCATCAGTACATTTTAAAAATATGTTCATCATATTTTATCCAGCATTATCTAAGTATTTTGTAATGGAAGAACTTATTAGTTATATAAATACCTATATTGCCAAAGACAGAAGACCTGGAAATACCACCGTAGAGATTTCCAGTTTATAAAAATACCAAGTGAAACTTTCTTAATAGATTCTTAGCTATCTTACATCAACTTCAAAAGATCAGAATGTATTTCTCAGATTTTTTTTTTTTTTTTAGAGATGGAGTCTTGCTTCATCACGCATGTTGGAGTGCAGTGGCGTAATCTCGGCTCACTGCAACCTCTGCATCCTGGGTTCAAGAGATTCTCCTGCCTCAGCTTCCTGAGTAGCTGGGATTACAGGCATGTTCCATCACACCAAACTAATTTTTATTTTTAGTGGAGATGGGGTTTCACTCTGTTGGCCAGGTTGGTCTCAAACTCCTGACCTCAGGTGATCCACCTGCCTCAGCCTCCCAAAGAGCTGGGATTACAGGCATGAGCCACTGCCCCTGGCCTAGATTTCTTAATTTCTTATAATGAATTAGTATGGACTTATATGTGAATCATTTTAGACTTTTTTTTAAACACTGTTTTGATTTTCAAATTGCATTATTCTGTCTTTGAACATTAACAGTGAGCCCTTTTTGAAAACTCTTTGACTTGACCCTGCTGCCTCTTTAAGTCCTTTACTCAGTCAATCAACAAACATTTGCATACCTATTGTGTACCAGGTCCTCTTCTGAATGGTGGTGACCGTTTTGAAGAAAACTACCTAAATCCCTGTCCTTGTGTGTGGAGCTTCTATCTTAGTGGATGTAGATAAATTTATAAATATGTCAAGTGAATCACTTGTCAGCCTCTTGGCTAAGAATAAAGGTAAATACACCAAGTGGTGAAATATGAAGAAATATGAGTGATATGAAGAAATGCAAAGCAGAACAACAGGCCAAGAAGAAGTGACAATCTGGTTGGGGCCATGAAGGGAAGTGACTGCTCTTTTAAATAAGGTGGTCAGTAAAGTCCTTTGGACAAGATGGCATTTGAATAGTCTTAAAGGATAGGAGAGGTATACATTCCAGACAGAGGGAACTGCAAATGCAAGAGCTCTGAGGCAGGAACATGCTTGACTGCTCCAAGGAGGCCAGTGTGCCTGAGAAGAACGAGTGAGGAGGACAGTGGTAAGAAATAAGGTCAGGGGCCGGGTATGGGGGCTCACGCCTATAATCCCAGCACTTTGGGAGGCCAAGGTGGGTGGATCACAAGGTCAGGAGTTCAAGACCAGCCTGGCCAACATGGTGAAACCCCATCTTTACTAAAAATACAAAAAATTAGCCGGGCATGGTGATGCACACCTATAATCCCAGCTACTTAGGAGGCTAAGGAAGAATTGCTTGATCCCAGGAGGCGAAGGTTGCAGTGAGCTGAGATTGTGCCACTGCACTCCAGCCTAGGGGACAGAGCAAGACTCTGTATCAGAAAAAAAAAAAAAAAAAAGAAAAAAAAAGAAAGAAAAAAAAGAAAGGTCAGAGAAGCCATCTCTCCAAGTGTTCTCTCCTCAACCAAACCATGACTGTACCCTTCCCAGTGTCTCTTGCATTGTCTCTCAGCCCTGCCTAATCTTAATTCAGGCCTTAACCATCCTTGTTTTGTTTATCTGAGACTGTCTACTATGACACTTCCCAAATAGATTTGCTCAATATATGTCTGATAGCATTTTTAGTTACTTTTCCAGAATATGTTTTCCTGGCTGGCCCCTCAGTGAGCACCTAATGGAACATGTATCCCTGAATTTCATTTTCTGTAGCATTACAACCTCTGGTATGAAATTTTGTGATGAGAAATAAAGTTACATTCACACACAAATTTGACAGACTAGACCCCTTTTTTATTATAGCTTAATTGGCACATGGTTCACTGAAGATACACTTTACTTGTACATAGGCTTGTAAATAGAAAAATACATTGATGCACAAAAAATATAGTACTTCAATACCAAACTTAAATGATTTCCAAAAAGAATACAGGTTATTTCAATAATTAAAGGTGGCTCTTGTATGTGCACTGTATCATGTATACACTTAATTGTATGATATGTTTAAGGCCAATGGAATCTATAGCTAACTACCCATTAGGTCTTGAAAACTGAAACATGCAAACATTCTTATTTTTATGTTTAAAGACATTTAATGTGTTATTCTAACACAAATACACCATACAAAATATGCCCTGATATATAGCTTTAAAATGATGTTGTACTCCACTGAAGTGTTACGGCAACTATAGAAGGCACTGCTGTGTGATTATGATCCTGTTCTTGAAATAGCTAAATCTTTTCCTCACTAGCATATACAATCCAAATGCACAGGTCTCAGTGACTTCTTTGGAATTTAAAAGCAGCTTTCATTTCAAGGATAGAAATATGTAAAATTTTACTCACCATGGCTAACTTTGCTATGGGAGTAGTGGAAGGAAAGTGGCAAAAAACACAATAGGTTTTTTCATTATACTTGGATTTTTCCTTGTTTAAAAATAAATTTAGGGGATACAAGTGCAGTTTAGATACATGAGTATATTGTGTAGTGGTCAAGTCTGGGCTTCTAACGTAACCATCACCCAAATATACTTGTACTTTTCTAAATACAGTTCTGCCAAATATTTGCCAGCACAAAATACATTTATTGTAATTCTTTATTTAAATTATAATGAGTGATATTTCTTCCTAAATAGCCATTAAGATCTCTGAAAATTTTGATCTACTTTATTCAAACCACTTTAATAAATAAGACTTTTCATCTAAATGAAATACCTTTGAATTTTATAAAGACTTCCATGAAACATATATTTAACCCACCTTTAATTTGGTATGAAGACACTTTGGCAACGTAGCAGAATACGTGAACTTGGCAAGACCCAGCAAGTACAGTAAATGCTCACGAGCTCAATGAAAATTATAGGCTACAGAATACTTCATTTTTCTTTTTTTGAACTACAGTACAAATATAACTGCTTCAATATGTACATCTATCTTCCACCAAATACCAAACAGGCATTTTATGCAATTGAAAACTAATTCCTTCAATTCCATCAATGGAAAAGCAAAACAAGTTGCAAATATCAACAATACAGAGCCTGCTGGTAAAGAGAGAGATGAGTAATTTACAAGTGAATTAAGCTGCAGCCAGAGAATGCCAGATCAAAATTATAAATATGAAGAAAAAGAAACTAAATATTTACTCATCACAAATAACTCAGCATAAGCACCAGCTATGTTCAGATGCGGCAAGCACATAGGCCAAGTATAAATGTACAATCACAGTGCATTAAAGCCACAAAATCTAGTTCCCTGAACCTTCAGTCAACCCTTCACAGCAACGGGAATATAGCAGGAGCCAGAAGTCCCACTTCAGTTGCTCATATTACATTAAGCCACCCTGCCACCCCCAATCCCTTTTCCACCAACAAAAAAGTCACCATGAGTGTACAACTGGTCAATGCAGTTTATCCAAGGTCTATAGATACAGCCATAATTTGTCCTATGTTCATGTTAAATAGAATGCTTACATAAAATTAATACTCAAAGACATTGGGCTGATGTGTATGTGTATTCTTATTTAACATGCAAGTGGCTTTAATGGCATTTTAGAAGGTCACCTATGGCATGAGTCTTTAAGTCTTGATCCAAGACTGTGGCCGTTTTATAATTGCATGTAAGATCTTAAATGTAAGACTCTGGCCTACTTACATTAAAGCAGATAACAGTACCCTCATTCATTCTACGTAATAAATACACTCTTCCGTGACTGCAAAATTCTGAATCCTTTAATGATTTACTATAACAGGCTACGGTTTTATAAGGCACTTTTGGCTCTGAAGTAGTTATCCTAACTCTCAGGCTGAATCTTAAAGAAGTATTTACAAAGCTGCAACAAATTGATTCTAAAACCAGACGCTTTACTGGTCTATTGGGGATGGCGAGAAGCAGTCTGTACACAATGCCCACTAATCTCTCACTGTGCCACCTATCAATCACAGAGAAGATCCCAGGCATGGGCCATCTGAACTGCTATGTCACTTACTCGACTTCTCAACAGCCACATCCCCCTTTCTCCTTTTCTTCACTTAACTGATCCGCAGAGGCATGACCATTTGATCGCACCACTCCTTCAGGAATCCAGGACTTGTCCACACACCGTTCCATTCGCTTCATTATCAGGTCCAGAAGCATCTCAATTGCTTGGCTTATGTTTGTCCCATTGGCAGCACTAGTTTCAAAGTAGGGGATTCTGGAAGACAGACAACAAAGGTAACAACATGTGGGAAAGGACAGTGACCTTTGCTCTTGATAATTCAAATTAGAGGACAGAATACAAATACACAAGATGATAAACATTTTACCACCCCAGAGGACATTAAAAAGTGAAAAAGACAATAAAATAAACTACACTGCATTCCTAGTAGATATGCAAAACTGGAAATTTTAGACTCTCCAAAATATCAATTTTCACAAGGCTCATGCCCCCAGTACTCTGGTAGGCTGAGGTGGGCAGATCACCTGACGTCAGAAGTTTGAGACCAGCCTGGCCAACATGGGGAACCCCATCTCCACAAAAAATACAAAAATTAGCCAGGAGTGGTGGCCTATATCTGTAATCCCTGCTACTCAGGAGGCTGAGGTTCAAGAATCACTTGAACCCAGGTGGTGGAGGTTGCAGTGAGCCAAGACTGCACCCCAGCCTCTGCAACAGAGTAAAACTGTCTCAAAAACAAAAATCAATTTTCATTTTTGTAAAGGATTATATCTATGCAACATATATTTTACTAATATATCTTGATTTACTATAAAAAGATTTTTAAAAGATATAAAAAGGTATAATTTAGAGAACTAAATCTGTTTTCATTTAGGTTTTGGAGGTTTTTTTTGTTTGTTTTGTTTTGAGACAGAGTCTCTGTCACCCAGGCTGGAGTGCAATGGCATGATCTCAGCTCCCAGGTGACCTCCCAGGCAACTAAACTCCCACCTCAGATTCCTGAGTGGCTGGGACCACAGGTGCACATCACCACAGCCAGCTAATTATTGTATTTTTTTGTAGAGACAGGGTTTTACCTTGTTGCCCAGGCTGGTTTCAAACCCCTGAGCTCAAGCTACGTGCCTGCCTTGGCCTCCAAAGTGCTGGGAATTCAGGTGTGAGCCACTGCGCCTGGCCTAGTTTTAAGAACTTAAATTTTGATGTTGGAAACTGGCTAGCCATGTGCAGAAAGCAGAAACTGTCCCCCTCCTAACACCTTACACTAAAATTAACTCCAGATGGATTGAAGACTTAAACATAAGACCTAACACCATAAAAGCCCTAGTAAAAAAACCTGGGCAAAACCATTCAGGACATAGACATAGGCAAGGACTTCATGACTAAAACACAAAAACCATTAGCAACAAAAGCCAAAATGGACAAGTGAGATCTAATTAAACTCCAGAGCTTCTGTGCAGCAAAAGAAACTATCATGAGAGTGAACAGGCAACCAACAGAATGGGAACCAATTTTTGCAATCTACCCATCTGACAAAGGGCTAATATCCAGAGTCTACAAAGAACTAAAACAGATTTACAAGAAAAAAAACAAAACATTCGAAACTGAGCGAAGGACATGAAGAGGCACTTTTCAAAAGAAGACAGATTTGAGGCCAATAAACATATGAAAAAATACTCATCATCACTGGTCATTAGAGAAATGCAAATCAAAAACCACACTGAGATACCATCTCACACCAGTTAGAATGGCAGTCATCAAAAAATCTGGAGACAACAGATACTGGAGAGGATGTGGAGAAATAGGAATGCTTTTATACTGTTGGCGGGAGTGTAAATTAGTTCAACCATTGTGGAAGACAGTGTGGAGATTCCTCAAGGACCTAGAAACAGAAATTCCATTTGACCCAGCAATCCCATTACTGGGTATATATCCAAAGGATTATAAATTGTTCTATTATAAAGACACATGCACACATATGTTCATTGTGGCACTGTTCACAATAGCCAAGATCTGGAACCAACCCAAATGCCCATCGATGATAGACTGGACAAGGAAAATGTGGCACATATACACCATGGAATACTATGCAGCCATAAAAAACGATGAGTTTGTGTCCTTTGTAGGGACATGAATGAATCTGGAAACCATCATTCTCAGCAAACTGACACAGGAACAGAAAATCCTACATGCATGTTCTCACTCATAGTCGAGTGTTGAAGAATGAGAACACATGGACACAGGGAAGGGAGCATCACACACTGGGGTTTGTTGGTGGGGTTAGGGGAGGGACAGTGGGGGTGAGCAGGTTGGGGAGGGACAACATGGGGAGAAGTGCCAGATGTGAGTGACAGGGGGATGGAGGCAGCAAACCACCTTGCAATGTATGTACCTACGCAATAATTTTGCATGATCTGCACGTGTACCCCAGAACCTGAAGTACAATAAAAAAAAAATTGATGTTGGTATCAAAGCTGTTTAAATTTCTCTATATGAAAAGTAAAACTTGAAAACTTTTAGAAGAAAATGTAAGAGACTATATTTTTGACATTGGGATAAAATGACTTCATAATATAGCTACAAAGCTCAAACCACAGAGAATAAGTTTGATAATCTTGACAATGTTAAAATTTAAAACTTTGGTGCCACAGCATATATCATAAGCAAAGTTTAAAGATGAGTTACAGGCCAAAATACATGGTGTTTCATGTAACTTGCAAATGGATTAGCATCCAAAAAAAAATTCCTCAAATGAATTAAAGTAATAAACAAGATAATATGAAAATAGACTAAGGATATGCACAGGAAATTCTCAGAAAGAAATTACATTTATGAAAAAATGTTCAACCTCATCCAAAATAAGGGAAATGCAAATTAAAATAATGTTGTATTAACTCACACCCATCATATTGGCAAAAATATTAAAATCTCCCAATATCAAGTATTGCCACAGAGAAGAAAAGAGGAACTTGTGTTTACTGCTTATGTAAGTACAAACTGTTAAGACTACTTTGGAAAATAGGATAGTAATATCTAGGTGTAAAATTGAAATAGGCATGCGCTATGACCCAGCAACAGCACATCTGGGTATACATCTAAAGCAGAGCCAAGGCATGTTGATGGGCAGGAAGTGAGTTATAGGGATACCTGAGACATCACCACTCCTTCAGTCCTTAGGACAACTGAGAACATCTTAGGGCAGCCAGAGTCCCTGAACCAGTCTCCTCCAACCTTGAGCAGCCTTATCTATTTATCCCAGTGAGCTGTACAAATATTGTCATTTTCTGCAGGTGGCATGCTATGGAAAACATTGAGAAGCCCTGTCCTGGAGCAGCACCATCCAATAGAACTTCCGATGATGACAGGAACTTTCCATATCTATGCCATTCAGTATAAGAACTACTAGCCACATGTAGCTATGGAGCCCTTGAACTGTGGCTAATGCAACCAAAAACCTGACTCTTTTTTTTTTTTTTTTTTTTTTTTTGAGACAAGGTCTCATTCGTCACCCAGACTGGAGTGCAGTGGTGCAATCTCAGCTCAAAGCAAACTCTGTGTCCCTGGTTCTAGTGATTTTCGTGCCTAAGCCTCCCAAGTAGCTGGGACTACAGGCATGTGCCACCACTCCCAGCTAATTTTACTACGTTGGCCAGCCTGGTCACAAATCCCTGACCTGAAGTGATCTGTCTGCCTCACCTCTGAAAGTGCTGGGATAACAGGCATAAGCCAACACACCCAGCCAAAAAACCTGAACTTTTAATTTTAACTTAAATAGTTACATCTGACTAGTGGCTATCATACTGGATAGTGCAGCCCTAGAAAAGCTCTCATACATGTAAACATGGCATCATCTAATGGAATAGATACTGCAGTACTATTTGTAATAGGGAAAAATTAACCTAAATATCCATCAGTGAGTACATGGATAAATAGTGATATTTTTATACAGTAAATTATACAAGGTTTAAACTGTATTGATATGGCAAAAATTAGACATTGAATTTAAAAAGCAACTTGTATGATACAAGATCATTTATATAAAGAACACAAAATTATTATACATCGTTATAAAAAAGATATCTATGTAGTAAAAATATAACTTCTTGGACTAGAAATATATAATTTTTACTGTTTTAGCTGAAAGTAACAGAAAATTATGGCTCGAATTGGCATGAGTCACAAGTAGGAATTTATTGTCATGCATAATGAGCACAGAACTAGAGTTTCCAGTGTTAATTTGCTTGCCAAACAGTAGAAACAAAGAACGTAAATTCATCCCGTCTTTCTGTTCTGCCAGCCTCCACTTGTCAGCTTTGTCCACAGTCTGACTCTTGTCATGACCCCAGAAGCTAAAACATTCCAAGCATCACATCTCGACACGCCAAAGTTCCAAGAAAAAAAAGACTCTTTCTTCCTCAATGTGCCTCCCTCAGGAGAGAAGAAATCTTGCCCAGAAGTCCCTGGCAGACTTTCCCTCCTGTCTCATTGGTCAAAACTGTATCACTTGCCAATGCCTAAACCAAACTCTGGCAAGAGGAATGGTATACCACCATCACTGGCTTAAAGCAATCAGTCTGCCTTAGCTGGGGTCTGGCACCTGCCTCTCTTAAGTAGCATATCCTCTAGAAGCAAAGGTAAATAGTTAAAGGAAATTGGGATTCTATGAAGAATGGCATGGATATTGTCTAGGCAACCAATGACATCTGCTATAGGAAGTAGACATACTGTGGTCCCCTCTGAGGAAGTAGGAAGGATAATGGAATCAACAAGGAATTTTAAAACGGGCTTCAACTGTATCTGTAAGAAATTTTAATTTTTTATTCTGCATATAATCATCTGTGAAATGGGAATATTGTGTACCTGAATACAAAAGTGTTTATATTTAGTGAATCATGCAGGTAAAACATATAGTATTGGGTAGCTGAAGAAATAGTATTTGTTATTTTTTCCTTCCATTTTACATGACTTATTTACCAGCTTGTTTCAATTCAGGCAAGCCAGAACACTCTAAAGAGAATATAAAAGAAATCCCTGCAGTAAAAAAAGGGGGAAAAGCTAAAAAAAAAAAAGAAAAAAGTTACAGTCCAGAAACCTCATCTAATAAAATAGCATGTTGCAAAGGTTGAATTTACCCATTTTTTTTTCTAGTTAGTAGTTTGGAGATCAGTATTCTGTGAACTAAACACTGAGAAGAGATTTTCTATTTTGTTTTACAAGAGGTATGAGGACGTGTATAGGAAAACAGGAAGAGCCTGCCT